TTTTTGCATAGGGGAAAATTAGTGAGTAGGTTTTCTTTTAATTCTACCGAGTACTACTCTTATTTGATAAACCTAAAATACTAAACGATTAAGAGACTGACCCAGTCTAGTCGGTTATGACTATGTACTGATAAGCATCTGGCGCACAGATTGACATTTGATCATGAGGCAAAAATCAACCAGTTATCTCGTTGGAACATAATTTAACTGCTACAATGACCCACCGGATACATACATCCAATATAAACTGCGAATACAAAAGACTGATATAGATTTATTCAACAAATAAAGAAATATTCTTTGAACAAAATACCTTGTTAATTTAAACTTTTACAAAAAAAAGGTTGCTTCTAATAAAACTTTGGTAGGGTTTTCCACCCACTGAACATTCATTCATAAGAATATTTTAAGTAATCTTTTTCAGCCAAAGTATAAATCTAAGTGGATGCTTCTTGATAAAATTATCAATGCACTTCAGAACCAGAGGCAAGTCAGTTATTCCAAAGCAAACGAAGTAATGACCAATAAACATGTCAATCCATTCCATTAAAAATTCAGAAAGCTGGAGAAATGGCACTGAAACATTTTCAAAATGAGCAATAATGATAATTATCATAGTTACTCCACTTTATTCAACATTGTTAGATTCCTGCTCGGTTTATCATTTCTTAAAATAGAGGTTTATGAAATAGAAAAATGACGCTAAATTGAAACTAAGATTTGCACGTAAAAATTAATGAAGATTAAACAGTTTGTATTCACCATTTAATTACCTATGTATGCTGAGTTTAGAGGAAGCTTTGCGAGCAATCTAGACTTGATTAGATAAATAATCACTAAGTAAGCAGTTTAGCTCATAGAAACTAAACAAATGTTCTTATCAAATCCCATACAGCAGGTAAAAATGACTTTGGTTACTCAAAATGCTGCCTAAGGTCACTATATTCAGCTGAAATGCACTCAACAACTTTGTTTACAAGTAGTATTCATCATGGACTGACATCATTTGGGGAACCATTTAGAATCTGGGAGCACTGGATAGCCGTTTCGTCCTAGTATGGGACTCCTCAGCAGTACGCACCCATGACTTAGCTAGGGATCGAACTCAGGACCTTCAGGTTTGACGGAGAACGCGTTAACCATCCAGCCACCGGGTCGGTTTCCAGTGGTTCACAGTTTCTAACTTCTGTCAATTCACGACGTAGCGAGACTGTCACCCAAGGTCTTCAGTTAGCATCCACGATGAATACTACTTCGAAGTTAAAAATCCCTATCCATCTCAAAAAATCTTTGTTAACATTTTTGCAGTAGACAATGAGTCACACTTTTTGTTTGAGGGCTAATGATGCTGCTCAAACCTTATTAGGTGGAGCGGCGTTCGAACGGGTGACCCACTGATTGAAACTTAACTGATAATGATGTAGTAATGTTTCCTTTTTCTATATCCGATTTCTCATAAATTTATTCATAAAAGTGAAGTTCAGTTTCAATATTCTTTAATGATAAATTAAAAGATTGCCTTGATTTATGAGTTAAGATTGAACACTGTGGTACACTGTAATTTCGTTTTACTCTGTTTATTCTATATGTGACACAGTGAAACAATGTTACTTTAAAGGTTATGAAGTGATATTCAAGGTAGACTCCATTTTGAGTTACACTTTTTGTTTGCAAACATTGATGTATCAGCCCAAATTTTATCACAATGAAATAAGTCAATGTGAAGTGAACACGAATGGATTATGTGAACTGGTAGATTAAGTTACTCAGCTTGAATTGCATAAGTTATTCTAGTTTACATTGGATGGAAGCTTTTACATGCGTTACCTAGATTTTTATCTATCCTTACAAATTTCTTTAAAAAAAACTCTGAAATGATATATATAGGTCAAAATTTTACCTTTATTTGACGAGTCACAATGTATGAAAGTCAAATCATTTGAACCGTAATACACAATATTGCATTGAATTTTATTGCCAACCTAAGTTGATATAATCAGTCCAGTCATGTAATCATCGTCCACTTTCAAGAAAGATCATAGAAATTTTGAGTCAAGTACTAAAATTGTTACGCTTCTCAAGATAAATATTCACTGATTGACCTGGAATGACTGGAACAGCCTGGATTCAGGAAGTACAAATCATGTGCGGACCAAATTGAAACGCCACACTACGCATCATCATAGAACAGAGTGTAAAATGGCAGTCAACTCTATACCTCAACTTCACCGACTTTGAGAAGGCCTTCGACAGCGTCGACCGACAAGTAATTTGGCAGTTGCTTCAACACCACGGAATACCACAAACCTTTATCAACCTCATTCAACAACTATATGAAGACGCCACATACCAATTGATCCACAACGGGAAGCTCAGCGACGCCAATGAAGTGAAGACAAGAGTAAGATAAGGTTGCCGCCTACTATCACCTGTGATCTCTCTGATTGTGGTGGACCGGATCATGTAGCCAACCGTGAGGAACTGTGAGAAGATGGGCAAACGCTGTATTGACCGATGAAAAGACCCCAGAAGAAGATTTGCATTCCCCCGCCTATGACGAGTTATGTCTAATGTCGCACAAACTTGAAGATCTACAGACGAAAACAAACAAGTTAACACAAGAAGATGAAAAAAGAGACGCAACTACAAGCGAACATAGAGAAGATAGAGGCGGTGAAGACAGCCAGCCACTACCACCACCACCTACAACAACAAGCACCAATCACCATGAACGGGAGAAATCTGAAGGAAGTAGTCTCTTCAACCTACCTAGCCTAGACAAGGCAGCATCGTCTCAACTACTGGCGGCGGCGGCTGTAGCGGGGGCACAGATGAGGATGTCAATGTCAGGATCGGAAAGACATCGAGACAGGCCTACCTTCATTAACCTGAAATCAGTGTGGAGATCTACTGTGCTGCACTGCACTGCACAGCACAGCACAGCACAGCACTCAGCATAAAGCGTGAACAAGATCCGGATTTTCAACACCAACTCAGTCAAGTAGGGTAGTGCTTCTATGTGATGGTTGAGAAACTTGGTGGTGTGTCACGAAAGCATTTCCAACAAACTAGAGACATTCATCAACAGCTGCCACCTACGCTCACTCAATACTGACATTGGAGATCAGATAGATGGTGAGGATGATAAGAATAAGCAACAAGGAACTGTGGCTGGCTGGCTGGCTGGTGACTAGCAACGAACCAACCAAGAACCCATCACTCAACAAATATACAGACGACAAAAGTGGAGATGGATTGGACATACACTGAGAAGATGATTGGGGGAACATCACACACCAGGACAGGTCGTCGATTGGAACTCAAAGGGGAAACGATGAGTTAGGCGTGCGAGATAAGTGTGACATGGAGGAGATGATGTGAGGAAGGAATGAAAGCTTGTGGTCATTCGTGGTGCCAGGTTGAAAAGACTGCAGAGAAGAGAGTGCAATGGAGGCATGCTACTGAAGCTCTATTTTCCACTAGGAACCCAAGGGAAAAATAAATAATAGAATAATTGTATGATACGTCTAATAAATCAAATAAAATGCAATTAAATTCTACAACATTGCCTAAGTTTTACACTTATACTAGACAATATTTTAGTGCAAATTTTAATAAACACAAATATGAAGATGAAATGTAATTTCAATCTCAACCACTCTGTTTATGTTTTGATTATGTAACTGATATCTAGAACCTTAAGTGTTCCAGCTAATAAGTTTTAGTTTAATCTTACTTAATTGTACTAAAGGTTAATGATTTAATTCAGTTGAGGTTATAACTTCTTTTTCTACTCTACACTTACTTTAACAAGTATTCCATGGTGATAAAGCGTATGACGAATTTGAAGAGAAAGTTAAATAAGTTATTGAAATTAATTCATACAGTTGAAAAATTCTTTCTAATATAAGCTTGATTTATGAAGTTAATATGTTTAGACTGTGTTGTATCAAATTCTAAAAAACGGTGTCAATTTAGTCTACTAAGAGGAAGAAAAAGTGTCTAAACAGAATCAGATAGAATATTTAAAGCAACTGGTCCCATTGATAAATTTAAACAGCATAATGAGAAGATGAAGATTATCTGAAACATGTGATGATGTATTAACGTTATACATTCCGAACAATCTTCAGATAGAATAACTTTATTCACTTACATTCTTTAGAACTAGAGTTTCTAACTTTCGGTTAACTTGGCTAAGTAATTAACTTTGAAGAATCTAAAATGTTATGTTTCTTACACTACAGACTAATTTTCTGTCTAAAGTGTAATACAGGTTAAACCAATGAACTTTTTTTTTCTTTTAACTGGAATCTTTCCACGATTTGTATTTATAACACAGGAAGTTTACTGTATGAATCATTAGTATCCAGTTTGATCAGCAGGCCTAGTGAATAGAAACTATGTTACTCAATTTCTCATTCTTGGAGAATGTAGATAAGAAGATTTTCAACATGGTTTCGTCACTTATCCGTATTCATCAAATGATGTGCCTATCAAATGAATGAAATTCATTATTCTTCCAAAGTTTTACCTCATAATCAGATTATCTGGAAGCCAGTAATATCATAGCCTGAGAGACAAACTTCTTGTACACCTTTTTCACAAGTATCTGAAGTCCTGAAACCTAATTCCATCTCATCATACAAAATGGCTTTTACTGCTGAGAATTACAATTTTTACGCTAAATAAAAAATACAGAGCAAAGTCCACCACAGTAATGTTCGTGGATTCATTCGCTAGCTATTACTTGTTCATTTCTCTCAGTCATGTATACCTCCTGTTCATGAAAATATCTATCAACTTCTACATTCTCGTAAGTGGAATACTCCGAAGTGAAGTAACTTTAGCGTTAAGTGGTACAATATTGTATCTTTTTATATGAATTGAATATGTTGAAAGGCGGGTTTCAAAATACACCATATAACTTTCTTTTATTCTGTAAGCCTTCTATCACAAGAAATTCTAACATTAAAACTTTATATTTCTTATATTTTCAGTTAGTTTATGATATATTCTTACGTTTCATCAGTTCGCCTGATTTTCAAGCATCACTAGGAAAAAAGTATTTGGATCAACAGTTTTTTCGTAATCTTTTGGAGATATTTAAATCAGAAGATCCACGTGAAAGAGAAATGGTTAAAATGATATTACACCGTGCTTACGGTAAACTTGTTACATTGAGACCAGTTATTAGACGTATGATCAATAATATACTTCTTCAGTAAGTTGGTCAAATAGAAATTTCATTGTATTACACTTAAAATATGTTTTGAAATCAACAGGTTTATAGTCAAACGAATATATCATGGTCACTGGATCTAGTAACAGATGACAACAAGGAAATTTAGGTTTTATCAGTTATTCTTTCCGCTTTTATTGTCTTTCTCATTGTGTAGTTATGAAGAACAGTAATCTAAACTGGTACCTTTAATTACAAAGTTGTACATTTCTGCATTTTTTTTATCCATGTCTGTACCTTTTATCGAACCATATTAAAAGTTTGAATGCACTTAGCTAAAAAACCTGGCTGCAGTTTTATTCATTTTAGACGTTTGTGGGCACTTATTGATTGATTTCAAGTTGCTACTCATAACGAACTGACATCATTTGTAGAACTGAAAGCTGGTAGCACTGGCCAACAGTTTCCTCCTGGTATGGGAACTCAGCATTGTACATCCATGACTTCACGAAGGACTGGATCCACTACTTTCACATTCCACAACGAGGATGTTACCATTCAGCCACTGAGTCAGAATTCTATGGTTTATATTTCCTTACTTGTGTCAGTTTGCCATATAATTTGACCTTCATCCGATGCCTTCGATGAGTACCTGAGGTGTCCAGTACTCTCGGGTTTTCAATAGTTCTCTAACTGATGTCAGTTTATGGTGAGAACCAACATGAACTTTTATTTCCTAAACTTGATTTGAAATTAAACGGAATATTCCTGAATATCTCCCGCTCACTGTTCAAGTATCCTATGCCATGTTGGTTTCATAAGGGAATCTGTGAAAGCATAATTTCAAAAAATACTATTCTAATATTGTTTCCGTAGATGAAAACCCTTTTTGTAAAAACTTGTTAGAATGACAACGAAACTTTCGACACTTGATCTTTAAATGTTGTAAAATACACAAGAGGTATTTTTTCACTGCTCTGGGGATCTGGACATCTAGGAATAGTTAGATGTAGTGCTATTGCTTGTATTACACCGTCGTTGATTGGACCGAATTAGTCAGTCTCTGTTGGAATATGGGCTCCTGTGCGGATGCCTCGATATTGCCTTTGTTCTTAACTACATTGTAATGATGGGCGGTGGCTAGCAGTGGAATCCAGGATGCCCATTTCTTCTTATTTGGGACTATCTATCATTACTATATAGTTAAGAACAAAAGCAATATCGAGGCATCAGCACAGCAGCCCATATGCCAATAGAGACTGATCAGTTCGGTCTAATCAACGACGGTGTAACACAAGCAATAACACTAAAACTATACCCGTCGCACAAGAAGTGGCTATCGTGGCTCAGTAGTGTAGTGGGTAGCACTCTGGAGTTTGAAGCGAACGCTCCCGAGTCCGGGTAGGAACAACATCACTCACTGGGAGGCAGGTACATCCAGCTGACGAGTCCTAAATAGAACGAAATGCGCATCCTGGATTCCACTGCTATCCACCGTCCACCATTACTATATAGTTACGTGTAATGTTGACGAGCTATTTTTGAGTGTTTTGGCTGCTTAGATTCCACCTACCTTTGTTCATTCGAATAAGTTGACTGATGATTTGTAAATCTTCAAGTCACTTTTACGCCTTCCTTTACTCATAAGCTCACTGATTTATTATGTAAGTGTTCTTTATGTAGATGTAGACGCTGAGATAAAACCTTCCTAATATTCTACACTCTTCTGTATTGGATTGGCCACTGTAATCTTATGGCCCATCCTAGACTCACAAGAAACTTTTCAGCTTATAACCTCCACTTAGGAATTACTGATTTAGGTTATAGTGCAGCAGTGAGCGAAACGTAATCGAAACTTAAGAATCCAGTTACAAGAGGGTAACATATTTATCTGCCTAGTCCTGAGAGCTCAGCACCAACCAAAATCTTTCGATTAAGTCTGCAACGTGGCTACTAAGCCAAATGACGTTAAACTATGATGTTTAGCAGTGACTAATTCATGTACATATTCTAGTCAGCAGTAAACTAAATAACCCATTGGTTAAGTCTGTGACTACAGCGTTGATTAATGAAGGTTCAAATCACCGACAAAACACTACGTCTACTTATGAGTACTCAAGATATAATAATGAAGTAATCAAAATTGTTCTACCTCTGTGTCCTTCTTCAGGAATCTTAACCAAAATTTAATGCATTCTTGTATAGCTCTTTATGCGGTTTTGTACGTCTTAAAGAATCAAGCTATTCAGCTAATAGAATATAACATAACTAAAGCCTTTTCTGAAAACATAACTTTCCTTATCACAACTTTGGCATTTCAAAGTACCAAATTTAAGTGCAACACTGGTAATCCAAGTTAATTTGATACCTTCCAGATTTGTCTATGAAGAAGACAGTCATTGTGGAATAGCTGAACTACTGGAAATACTTGGCAGGTAAGAATTTTACAATGATAATACATCGCTAATATACATATATGTATATATGCATATGCATGAACAGAAAGGCTTCGATTGATTTTTGTCAACTTACGCCATATGTATCCTTGGTGAGCCATCCAATTGCCAAATAAAGAGTGAGTGCAAAGCTCTGAATTCCGCTTTGTTCTGCTTTGTATCAGTGAAACAGTGAGATTAAAGGTTTAGGACTCTGCTTTCATATCACTGGCTGTGTCATGGAACAGCCAAACTAGTGACGTAGACGTCAGGCATACATTATATTCCTTCGTTAATTCAGGTGATTTGGACATGGGTTACGCATGCCTAACCACCGTCTGCCCCCATATGCAGTACTGTCTGAAGCACAGTTCAACTGGAAAAAGTAAAAAGTAGCCAAAATAACGTGTGACACTGATCCATGAAGTCCATGGTTGTTGGTCTGATACTTGTAGAGAAGTGTTGACTTCCGGGTTAGGGTCCATGTGGTAACCGAAATTTGTGGTTTTCAACTGTCTGTGATGCGGCTACTGAGTGACGAGAGGTTAGTATGTAACGCTCTAGTGTTGAAGCGATAGCTTCTAGGGTCGAGTTTCAGCTGTGTGTTCTCAGAGAACCCAATACAACCAAAAGAGCCCATATGCCAAGGATGACTGGTCAGTTCAGTCTATTCACCAGGAAAGTATAAGCATCAATAGATGTTAATAGAAAATTCTAGATATTATTTTGATATTATCTCAGTTGGAACTATATGTTAACATCGAGCACAAGTTTGTGTTGCACAGTTCTGTTCTACAAGGCATATACTCTTTTTCCATTTACTAGTAAGGTCATTTTGTTTATATTTTGAGTGATGTTATTTTCTATAACCTGTTGAAACTTGCTTTCGTTTAAAACAACAGTCTTTAAGAATCCCGATCATGAATAAGGATGACTGTTTCGAAAAAAATGGTGCTGTTCTGCTTAATGATAAAAAGAATAACCCAGTATACAGTTTCGGTTTCGCATTCGGTGTGGATGAATTATTTGTCAACCAGCCTTTCAGTATATGCATAGCATTAATACTTACGGATTTTGAAAAATTCAGATTCGTTACTTATTGAACTTGTTGAGAATTCCAGCCAGTGGACATGATAATGCTGTATCATTTAAACACTGGCGAAAGTTAATCTCCCGGAGGCCGTGAGGCATTTAACTTCAAAATATGGTACATTTCAATGTATCGTCACTTCTCTCAGTAGCCATAATGCAAGACTTGAACAATAGACATAGATTACTGCTTAGTATTCAGAACTGGACACTCTTTTGATGAAGAGAATGCGAAAATATATTATTTCAAGAATATCCAAAATGGTTTCAGAAGGTTGCCGAAAAAACCACATACTTCACAGTACAAAATCTCTCAAATGGTACACAGTGAACTACACTAACTCCGTTCGTTAGAGCATCCCAAGTTTAGACTGGAATGTTTACCAGAGATTCTCCACCAACTGATTATGTCAGGGAAAACATAAGTAGACAGATACCAATGGTTCACGTGTTATAAGTCAAATATAAACAAAGAATATTTCCTTCAATAACTTCTCATCAAGTTCTACAGTCACAAAATCGATTTCGTTAACATATTCAAGGCCAAAATTTGTAGTGAATCCATTTAGGGATGTACATCGATTCAAAATTACCACCAGAACAAGCTCGCTGGCTAGCTGACTGGCTGGCTGGCTGGCTTCAGGAAGAACAAATCATGTGCCGACCAAATTGCAACCGGATTTTCAACACTAATTCAGTCAAGTAAGGTAATGCTTCTATGTGATGGTTGAGAAACTTGGTGGTGCGTCACGAAAGCATTTCCAACAAACTAGAGACATTCATCAACAGCTGCCACCTACGCTCACTCAATACTGATATTGGAGATCAGATAGATGGTGAGGATGATAAGAATAAGCAACAAGGAACTGTGGCTGGCTGTCTGGCTGGCTGTCTGGCTGGCTGTCTGGCTGGCTGACAACGACCCAACCAAGAACCCATCACCCAACAAATATACAGAAGACGAAAGTGGAGATGGATTGGACATACACTGAGAAGATGATTGTGGGACATCACACACCAGGACAGGTCGTCGATTGTAACTCAAAGGGGAAACGATGAGTTAGGCGTGCGAGATAAGTGTGACATGGAGGAGATGATGTGAGGAAGGAATGAAAGCTTGTGGTCATTCGTGGTGGCAGGTTGAAAAGACTGCAGAGAGGAGAGTGCAATGGAGGCATGCTACTGAAGCCCTATGTTCCACCAGACACCGTAGTGAGAGATAATAATAATAATAATAATAATAATAATAATAATAATAATAATAATAATAATAATAATAATAATAATAATGGAATCATTGCTAAAATTTGATTCTTTTTGTTCATATTTAACTTTTAGTGTATGTAATGGGAATTTTTAGCCGTCTGAAATCTTATAAAAAACCGTTCAGTAGAAATCTTCAGAAGTTTTAAGTCTATAGATATGTATATTACATTTTCTGATGATTGGATGGGAATTGTGTTTAGCCACTCCAGAGTATCTTTATCAAAATTACGAATTGAAGTCTTATCTATGGGTCCGAAATCCTGTGATACCAATGAAAATGTCAAAAAAAGTTACGAATCGGCACAGTTTGAAAATGTAATTAGTCCAACCAGTGATCCTGTCCTGGTCACTGACTAGCAATTTCAACACTTCGAATCAACCACCATCAGTTGTTGCCATCATTATCTCAAAGTAAAACCAAGGATTCATTGCCTTCTAACAAAAACGAAATGGAGAACAACTTAAGCAGCCAACTGAAGTTTTAAGAAGAATGAAGGATTATCTGATAATTAGCAAGGATCATTATGAACGAATTAAAACCAACAGTTTCCATAATAACACAACTTTACGCGTTACTTAAAAACGCATAAAGCTCGTCTGCCCCTTCGCTAGATTAAAGATATGTCTGGATCCACCTTCTGTCTAAAGGCGAAATGGTTTACTAAAACTTTGGAGGCTATCAAGAAACGTGTGTGTGGATACTCCCTTCATGATACTTTCGAGTATGTTGACTACATTAGGGTTATCAGCAACAAACTTACAGTATCTCTTTATGCCGAGTCACGTTTCGCCGATGTTCCATTTACGGAAAAGGTTTGCCTTTTATGGATGATAAAAGTGTGGATATTAGAATATCTATTATATAGTTGAAAGTGACTACTGAGAAGTGCCCTCAGGAACACAATCTAGAAACAAAAATACCGGACTGTTATAGGATCCCCACTAGGCCCATTAATCCCAGACTGTTTCATGGCATCTCTAAAAAATAGTAAACTACAGTCAACAGTTGATGACTTCCAGCTGCATAAAAGGTATACAGATGATTCTCATATCTCATTGGATGAAAAATGTGTAACGAATTGTGTACTAAACGTATTCAACATCTGCCATCCATCGACTAAGTTCACTTTTGAAGCAGAAAGTAAACCTCGAATTCCGTCTCATGAAGTAGAACTGACAAGAAAGACTGATGGAAAATTGATAAATTCAATCTACAAACAGTCCACTTGGAATAGCCAGCTGACAGATTTCTACAGTTATGTACCTATCAGTTGCTGAAAAATCCTAATTATATCTCTTGCAACTTGCGTCTAATGTATCTGTTGCCTCGATGCCTTAGCTAATGAAATAAACCTTCAAAGAAAAATCCTGACAGAAAATGGATATCCACCTCCTTTCATAGATTAACTGTCATGTTTAAAACTCAGAAAGATTGGTTCAGTTCTCTGTCGAGGAAGACACTTTATACGAACCTGTTGACATTTTAAAGACAAGGATTTCAAATTCATTAAAAAGAACCTTTTGTAGCAATGCTTGGATTTGTCCTAACCAGTCCTCCACTATTTTTTGACAACCTGAAGGATAAGGTCCCAGGTTTAACTACTTCCATGTGCAGCTAAGTATACTGATTTCTCATTACCAGTTTTGCGTAAAAATATTCAAGGATATTATCCTGCGTATTTGCGGAATGGTGGTATTGGTTCCATGAGGAGTGCACTAATTGAAGATCTCGTCAATAATAACCACACAATCTTGACAGCTTCTCGTTCTATAGTTATCTGCACAGTGGAAAGCAACCTTCTAAAGACTGTATGCATTCGCCTTCTTTGAATAGCTGAAGCTCAGATTATCTTAAAAATAATCCAGCGCCTTGCATTCAGCCCCTTCTCCATTCACGGTCCTAATACCTAACCATTCAAATCACCATATATTTTCCTTGTTCCGTCCTGTTCCCTTTCTATGCAATATCAGCCGTTACTAAAGATAATTCATCCTTCAAGTATTTTATTATTTTGTGTAACCCCAAATTCTGTTGAACTGTGATTTATATCCACTACCCTAAACATCCTGTATTGTCTTTAACTAAAAATAAGTTATCTTGTTGGTTATCATATCATCAAAAGAGAATTAGTTGAAAAAATCTTATCATCTTCCCCAAGAAAATTTGTATATAACCGCGATCGCACAGCTACAGAAATGAAAACGCTAGAAAGAGACTATTTGCCTAACTAATTTTCGTTTTTATCACGTAGGTATGTATAAATAGTCAAATAACAGAGTAATTTACATTACTTTATTGTTGTTGTTGCTACACAGGATCGAATGGCTGGACCAGTGAAGGTAGATGAGCTCCTATGAGGTTGTTTCGATTATTAATTTCTTTGGCATTGGGTTCCTAGTGGAAAATAGAGCTTCAGTAGCATGCCTCCATTGCACTCTCCTCTCTGCAGTCTTTTCAACCTGCCACCACGAATGACCACAAGCTTTCATTCCTTCCTCACATCATCTCCTCCATGTCACACTTATCTCGCACGCCTAACTCATCGTTTCCCCTTTGAGTTACAATCGACGACCTGTCCTGGTGTGTGATGTCCCACAATCATCTTCTCAGTGTATGTCCAATCCATCTCCACCTTCGTCTTCTGTATATTTGTTGGGTAATGGGTTCTTGGTTGGTTCGTTGTCAGCCAGCCAGCCAGCCAGCCAGCCAGCCAGCCAGCCAGCCAGCAGCCAGCCAGCCAGCCAGCCAGCCAGCCAGCCAGCCAGCCAGCCAGCCAGCAGCCAGACAGCAGCCAGACAGCCAGCCAGACAGCCAGCCAGACAGCCAGCCACAGTTCCTTGTTGCTTATTCTTATCGTCCTCACCATCTATCTGATCTCCAATATCAGTATTGAGTGAGCGTAGGTGGCAGCTGTTGATGAATGTCTCTAGTTTGTTGGAAATGCTTTCGTGACGCACCATCAAGTTCCTCAACCATCACATAGAAGCACTACCCTACTTGACTGAGTTGGTGTTGAAAATCCGGATCTTGTTCACGCTTTATGCTGAGTGCTGTGCTGTGCAGTGCAGTGCAGCACAGTAGATCTCCACACTGATTTCAGGTTAATGCAGAAAGGCCTGTCTCGATGTCTTTCCGATCCTGACATTGACATCGTCATCTGTGCCCCCGCTACAGCCGCCGCGGTCGCCAGTAGTTGATACGATGCTGCCTTGTCTAGGCTAGGTAGGTGGAAGAGACTACTTCCTTCAGATTTCTCCCGTTCATGGTTATTGGTGCTTGTTGTTTTGTTGTTGTTGTAGGTGGTGGTGGTGGTAGTGGCTGGGTATATTCATCACCTCTGTCTTCTCTGCATCCACTTGAAGTCGCATCTCGCTTCACTGCCTCGCCTCGCCTCACCTCGCCTCCTCTGCCAACTTGTTCGTTTTTCACCTGTACATCTTCGAATCTGTGCCACAAGACACTAGACATAATTCATCATCATCATCGGCGAAATGCAAATCCTCTTCTGAGGTCTTTTCATCGGTCAACACAGCGAGTGCCCATCTTCTCACAGCTCCTCACAGTTGCCTGTCGCATGATCCAGTTCAGTCCAGTCCAGTCCACTTCACTCTACTCCAGTCTAGTAGAGTCGAGTCGAGTCGAGTAGACCACAATCAGGAAGACCATTGGTGATAGTAGACAACCTTGTTTTGTCTTACTCCTCTCTTCACTTCAATGGTATCACTTGGCTGGTATGTAGCAATACGTAGGATATAAATGCTGTTGAACGACGTTGATAAATATTTGTGCCGCTCCGTAGTTTTGAATCAACTGCCAAATTACTTCTCGTCCGACGAGTTTGTCTCAGTATTGTCAGAAATTCCTAGTGTTACATTCATCTTAGTAACTAGCAGTGGAAATCACGAGGTTTGTTTCATCCTATTTGTGGCTCGTTATCTGAATGTACTTGCATATCAGTGATTGAAGTCGAGCCATTCGACTCTGTTTAGCGCGGGAAGTTAAAAGTATCAAACCATCAACCAATATCTGTTGCTCTAGTGGCCTAGTGAATAATGCTTTAGCGTTTGAAGAAATGGGTACTGGGTTCGAGTCTCAATGGAGACAATATCACCCACTAGGTACCTCCTTGAGTCACAAATAGGAAGGAGCGCATATAAGGGATTCTACTGTCAGTCACTAAGATGAACGCAATGCATCGCCTTATGTTTATCATGTAAAACACTAGCTTCTTTCATCGTCTTCATAGTCGTTCAGTTACTTCATTTTTACTGCATACTGCGACTGATTGATCACGATAAACTTAGTTAAAATATTAAGTGCTAGATCAATTTGAAAAGTCTGGGCTTAAATTTTGAGCTGTCAGGAAACTAACTCTATCACTAAAAAAACTTCAGTCGATCCCCGGAGAATAGCTCTCAGGAAAATAATGCCTTCTCGAAGATTCGAGTTTTCCTTTAACAATGCTTCAGTCAAAGATATCAGAAATCCTCTATTCTGTGACTAATGTATTTAATTCTGCTATAACAAGTGACAATGAAAATGAGTATCACACATACCACTTGTAACCTCTGTGCTCGATGACGTCACGACAATTCATGAAATTGTCAAAGGAAATCATTATCCCGATACAAAGAATCACAACAGAAAAGTAAATGAGCATAACAATCTGAAACTGTCAGCTTTGACGCATAAACTTGAGTTTCAACGCTGAAAAAATCATCTTTGTTATCTTTATACTTTTGATAAAGGCATCAAAGAAACTAAATTCTGTCTACCTGATGATGAAACTCCATTACGTCGTCCTTTTATTTTGAGTAGATTAACTAATTTCGAATCACGTAATGAGTCTTTGAGAGTTAAGAAATAAAGAGGCCCGATTTTAGCGGTAAGGTAACAAAGTGATTGAGCACAATCATCTTATACGCTCGCTGTCATCAAGAATAAGTATGACATGCACTGCTGATGTACTTATTCAGTAATTAGAAACCCTTCCAGAAAAATATTTACAGAACGGTCAGCTCAGATTTATAGAAAAAAAGACTGTGGAACAGATCCGGTCTGCTCCGAAGAAAATACTTTCAGTGAACTTCGTATTCAAAGGTGATATCGTCTTAGACATCCTTCGTAAACATTCATCAAAGTCCCTCAGTAGCACACTCTTCACTACAAACCTCCATACTATCTTCTTGTGTCAACAGCTGATTTGTTAGTGCATGAAGGACAAACTGAGGCATTGGTCCCCATCAATGTGCATTTAAAAGTTCCCTTTCTCCTGTAGAGCTGAGTATGTTGGCCGTACTGAGCATTCGTTTGAAAAACGCTCAGACGAACATTACCCCTAGCTGATTGCCAAAGGGTGAGCAGAGAACCATCTTCAGCTACCTCGTTGGACAGTTGGTAGACCCTGGATATCTGACTTCTCTGAAAATCTCATCGAAGTTCGAGCAAACTGGACAACAGGAGTGAGGATGAAACACTTATTTATACCTAAAGCCGTGGTAACTCACAGCTTCAGGTCTCAATTATGTATTCAGAGGAAACACGCCATAACACCCTTTATCTTAGCCTGGACATATGGTCTTCACTTCTGCTTTTTCTACTCTTTTCATTTTACTTGTTTATCTACTTATTTTTTTCTTCATTTATTTTTGTCGGATATAAAATCTTACTGTCCAATCCATTTCATAAAACCTATTGAGATTAATGCTTGATAAACATGTAAAAGGCGGCTAAATTGTCTTCAGAAGTGGTTCATTCGTTTTTTTTTCACTGAACTTTGTTTTCGAAGCACTTGGATTAAATTCATTCGGTTACACAGCTGACTTTCAGCTAGCGGTTATAAGATTCATACCTACCTCAACTAACTCAGTCTTAACAACCGGTAGTACCATAAACTGTCACACAATAAGTATCGCTAACAGCCTCATAAAAATACTTGTATCAGGACGAGTTGTATTACATTGACTGTTTTAAAAAAAACTAGGATATATGACTTTGTGTATACATCAAACTTGTCCTTTTTGTCTCTTTTGTTTTACCACTAACCACCCTTTTGGACCAGTAAGAATTTTCTTGATCAACTCTCACCTGATAGACTTGCTTTACATCGTTTTTTCAGATAGAGTGGCGTGCGCTTCAGCGTCTTGTGTAGTTCAGACGAAGGTGTTGAGATCCAACAGGCCTTAACAAACGTGGACTGCTAATGGTTAGACAAATGGTCAGTTTAAGTCAGTGAATAAACTATATTCACCGTTTCACTCTAATTTTTTGAAAATTATCCTAAGGTTAACGGAAAATGGCTTAATTCTTGAGCTAGCATCATCTTGAGAGTTGACAATACTTTTGCAATTTTTCAAATGCACAACTGAACAATATTTTACCCTTTGAAATCAAGGACCTCTTTATTCAACGGTCTCTTTCATCTCGAAAATCTTGAATACTTCCGTGAACCTCTATCTGTTTATTTTCTTTCTTTTTTCATTAGCTTTTGTCTACTGTGGTGTCATTCGTTTAATATCCACTCCGTTGTATATTACTGTGAAGTGTAGCAACTTGAAATGATGCTGGTTGATGTGCCGATTAGTTTGAGACTTTGATATGAATGTTAACAATAAATTGTCTTCGAAAAATTACCCGGTGAAGAAGATTGCGTCACTGTGTGCTTCATCAAATAGACTAATCCAATATGGAACCTAGAATCTTCTTATGTTCCTAAAATTTTAACTACTTTGAAATAAAAGTGAACTTTAGGATTAATAAACTCCATATACGAACATCACACACCACATACTTGAATAAACTTTTGTTATTCTCCATCTATTCATCTAATTACAGTATAATCAACGGGTTTCAAACACCACTGAAAGACGAACATAAACAATTTCTACGAAGAGTACTCCTTCCTTTGCATAAATCACCAACAATGAGTCATTTTAACGCCCAATTAACCTATTGTACAACAGAATTTATTAAGAAAGACTCCAGTTTATTCACAGTGGTAAGTTATTACTTCCATTCCTAGAATAATCACTAAAATTGATTGTCCACTTGATGTAAAGAAGGCGAAGAATGAGACAAAGGTCAAATTGAAGGTAAAAAAATAAACTAACTAATTGTAATGAAATCGATAAATGTGAAAGTGTAAAGATCATGGTAGGATAAGAGATTGAACATACTTCTTTTGCACGCAGAGATCAGGTTTCAATAGATTAGCTGTAAGTGCTTGCGATGTGCACAACTGTCAAAGGCGTACTCCATTTGAAATATTCCATTTGACCAAATCTTCAAGAACTGAAATAATACATGATTTACATTCCCCCTCAGCAACCATTCAGGATTATTATTATTATTATTATTTGTCCCTTGGGTTCCCAGTGGAACATAGGGCTTCAGTAGCACGTCTCCAGTGCAATCTCTTCTCTGCAAACCTGGCTCCACGACTGCCCACAAGCTCTCATTTCCTCCTCGCACGATCTCTCCATGTCACCCTCACCTCGGACGCCCAACTCATCGTTTACCGTCTGGGTTCCACTTGACACCCTGCCCTGGCGCGTGATATCCCCAGTCGGCCTTTTCAGTGTATGCCCAATCCATCTCCACTTCCTTCCAGTGCATATTTGTTGGGTGATAGGTTCTTGGTTGGTTCGTCACCAGCCAGAGCTCCTTGTTGCTTATTCTTTCTGGCCATCCATCTGAGCTTCAGTAGCGAGCCAGCGTAAGCAGTTGTTGATGAATGTCTGTAGTTTATTGGAAATCCCTTTCGTAACGCCCAAGTCTCTGAACCATACAGAAGTATGACTTGACTGGGTTGGTGTTGAAAATCCGGATGTTGTTCCACATGCTGAGTGGAGTGCAGAAGATCTCCACACTGGTTTCAGGTTAATGCAGGAAGGCCTGTCTTGCTTTTCCGATTCTGACTTTGACATCCTCGTCTGTGCCACCGTCTGTAGTTGAAACAGTGCTTCCTAGATAGGTGAAGGAGGCTACTTCCTTTAAGTTTCTTCCGTTCATGGTGATTGGAGTTTGCTGTTGTTGTTGGTAGTGGTTGGGTATCTTCATCACCTCTGTCTTCTCCACGTTCACTTGAAGTCCCGTCTTCCTTCGCTGCCCTGCCTCTTCTGTCAACTTGTTAGTTTTCGCCTGTAGATCTTCAAGTTTGTGCGACGTCAGACACAAGTCATTGGCGAAATCCAAGTCTTCTAGGTTCTTTTCCGCAGTCCAGCCAGCGTATCCCCTCTTCTCGCTCCACACAGTTGTCTGCTGCATGATCCAGTCCAGTTGACCACAATCAGGAATATCGTGGTTGATTGTGGGCAACCTTGTTTCACTCCTGTCTTCACTTCAAAACATCACTGAGCTTCCCATTGTGAATTACTTGGCTGGCATGTGGCATCTTCATATAGTTGTTGAATGAGGCTGGTAAAGGTTTGCGGTACTCCGTAGTAATGAAGCAGTTTCCAAATTACCTCTCGGTCGACGCTGTCAAAGGCTTCTCAAAGTCGATAAAGTTGAGGTGTAGAGTTGACTGCCATTCTATACTCTGTTCTATGATGATGCGCAGTGTGGCATTGCAATTTGGTCCGCATATGATTTGTACTTCCTGAATCCAGCCAGCCAGCCAGCCAGCCTGTTCGGGTCGTAGTTTTGAATCCAGTGCATCCTTTAGTCTCTCCAGCATGATGCGGCTTAATATTGTGCTCGCTTTGGGTGGACAGGAGTGGAGCGTGATCCCGCGCCAGTTCTTGCAGACACTGAGGTCTCCCTTCTTTGGGAGTTTGACAAGGTAACCCTTCTTCCAATCAATGGTCAGGTTCCTTCTCTTCCTTCCACACCTTCTGCACTAGTGGTGTGAGGATGTCCGCCGCTATTGTCTCTGCGTCTGTTTTCAGTGCTTCTGACGGGACCCATCTGGTCCTGCTGCTTTCCCGCATTTCAGTAGCTTTATGGCGTTCAGGACTTCCGCTTTTGTTGGAGGATTTATGTTCACTTGTAGTTCTGTGGCTGGGCTGCAGGTGGTATTTCTGGACGAAGTGCAGGTGGTGGTGTGATGGTCGATTCAAGAGCTGGGTGGACAGGAGTGTGATTCCGCTCCAGTTCTTGCAAACACCTAGGTCACCATTCTTCGAGAGACCATGCTTATATATATATATATATATATATATATATGTATATATATATATATATATATATATATATATTAAGTGGACACTGAATATTCATATTTCTCATCTATCAACAATTTTCACCTTGTCTAACTCCATGCCCTCCTCGTTATCTCTATTATCTAAAAGATTATCATGCAACTACGTTCCATTCTTGATTCTGGTTTTTTAACAGTAGCCTAGTGATGCAGTTATACACTATTGTTTCATAATAGACTGTTATATGCTTATGATATATACATAAATACGATTGTACAGCTTTAGAAAATGATATCATCGAGAAATAAAAATTTCATCATTGAATCATCTCTTGTTTTATCTGAAAGTTCATTTGAAATAGGATATAGTATATTCTTGTCAAAAAAAAGCTCAATCTACATTCAGTATTCCTTTCAATTCCGATTATTCATTTTCGCATCCTGTTACTGGCTTCACAGTTATCCGTGTTCTTGGTTTTTTGTACTACTCTTCAATTTCTGCAATTTCATATATTTCCTGTTTTGAATTATAGACACCCAGATCATAGTTATCATAGTTCGCAGCTGAATACAGTGGACATTTTGATAGAAATCTCTGTTTTCACCTCAATCTTAACACCTCCAACAGTTCATCTTTATTTGGTAGTTTTCGAACTTAATAACTCTGATATAAATTACACTACTCCCTTTTGTCGCTGTATTTTACTCTAAGAAACGTATAATAACACTGATCTTTTGAACCAGTGTTTTATTTCCTCAAGAATATGTGAATGAACTTACTAAATTATATATCGGTTAAAGGAAGGCAACAGACAAACATCTAATTACTTAAGTTACCCAGTATAGATAGTGGTGTTTAGATATTTTTTTGCTCCTTAAAGTTAGTAGCTTTCTTTATCTGGACCACTCAGGTTCACAATAGTATTCTCTACATTATATCTCGGTTTACTAACAACTAACTCAAACTTTGGCATCCACAACTGATTATGATGCACAGAGTCTGGCGAATGCCACAGGAGTGGATGACTAATTGATGAATGCTTAGGATAGATAGATGAGCTACAAGAAGCAAAAGCAGAATATGACCATAAGATTAACAACATTTGAGAAAATAACCTTCATTATATATGTGTGATATTTTATCAATGAGTTTTTCATAGCTCACTTCGACGAAGTAAACTGAATTTAATTGACTGCGATTTCTACTTTACTGAATGGAAATAGTTGGTTGATACCATACAGGTTGTTGTTTCATAACATAATCCTGAATTTGGTTAACTCTCATTGTTCTTTTATCTGATTATGATAAATATTTAAATCTTATACATTTCACGTCTTCATCACTTTTTTGGATGTCAACGATTCTACAAAATACTTTCAGCTAAATGCCTATGAAGTTTATAAGAGCGTCAGTGTTAGTTCTAGAGAAATTTCGACAAAGTGATCTGAATTTTCATATGGTATCTTATGAATTAAAGTCTAGGTGTATATTTTCAGTGAGAAACAACAATTATTGAATGATAAAAGATAGGTTAATTTCCAGTGAACTTTTCTTAACTTTAGACAAAAGAAAAAAACCAATAGACTAAATTATTTATTGTCTTGCCAAAAGTATTTCGAAACCAGACGAGAGTTGTTGAATCCATATCATTTTTTAAGTTGCTGTAGACTGTGAAGGTAAAGTACATCATCCATATATCAGCATACTTCTATCATTAATAATTCGCAATTAAATTGTTTCACATAAAGTGTTCATTCAGCAAAACATCAACAACAAATTGAATAGAATAACACAATGTCGTCATCTCCTTCCTGTAAATACGTACAACCTGTACACTTTGACTATTGGATTATAACGAAACTTTTGAGTAGATCACCAAGAAGTTTGTCGGTGGATAGTTTGGACACATAGAAGTATAATAAGATAAGAAACAATGTGAATGAAAGTGAAAACGATAAGATATAATAAAATTTAACATTTTCATGTATTGTTAATCCGAACATTTTAGTGAGAGAAAAAATCGGCAATGAATGACAACAAGTATAATACAGGATTTATAAAGGAGACTATGCAAATAATTTTAGTAACTTAGCCACCATTAACAAATAAATTCTCTAGATCATAATGAGTTTATGTAAGCTGAATAAAAATGAAGTTTATTGTATTAGTCTTGTTGCTTGTAATACACCGTCGTTGATTGGACCTAATTGACCAGTCTCTGTTGGCATATGGGCTCCTGTGCGGATGCCTCGATATTGCCTGTCCTTTAACTATGTATAGTAATGATGGGCAGTGGCTAGCAGTGGAATCAAGGACGCCATTTCGATCTATTTGGGACTCGTCAGCTGCCTCCCAGTGAGTGTTGTTCCCACCAGGACTCGGACTCGAAAGCGATCGCTTCAAACGCCGGAGAGTTACCCAACTACAGCACCGACCACGATAGCCACTTCTTGTACAACGGGTATATGCCCATATGCCAACAGAGACTGATCAGTTCGGTCTAATCAACGACGGTGTAATACAAGCAATAACACTAAAACTATACCCGTCGCACAAGAAGTGGCTATCACAGCCCAGTGGTGTAGTGGATAACACTCTCGCATTTGAAGCGAACGCTCCCGAGTCCGAATCCTGGTGGGAACAATATCACTCACTGGGAGGCAGGTACATCCAGCTGACGAGTCCTAAATAGAACGAAATGCGCACCTAGATTCCACTGTGAGCCACTGCCCATCGTTACTATACGAAGTTCATTGTGATTTTAAAAAGTTTTCCAACAATAATAACGATTAAGATAATACGAGATGACTCAGTCGAACATGAGAAGGGTTTGTTAGTGAGTTACTAGGTTAGCAACCGCTTATTTTTAGTCCGTATACATTCGGTTTCAACCTTTTGACTGTGACACCATCAGAGAAACTGAAAAGATCTAGGTTATTCCGCTTATTGGTTATTTTAAAAGATTTCAAGCCATGTATATTTATTAAATGGTTCGTAATCGTGCTAGTGAAAGTGTTAGATCCCCTTTCAAGGAAACTTAGTGAAATCAAACAAATTATCACAGTTATGACTGACACAAGATATTACGTAGTTGTCTTCATTTCTTTCAAGACAATAAGCAAACGAATAAACTTGTTGAGCTGGGTGATGATTGAAGTTGAGATGAAAATCTGGACCACAGCCGGACTCGAACCAGCGACCACCAGCCCTTTTTCTATCGAACATCCCAAACCTAACCTATGTATTCCAATGAATATGAACATTATATTCTACTCAAAATGCCATCCAGTAAATTATACTGTATCACTGTGTGCTTTATCAAATAAACAATCTAATATGGAACTATACTTAACCATAGTGCCTAAATTTCTCCCTTACAACTATGTGTATGTTTTGAAATTCTACGTTGTAAGCAGTTTCTAAGATATTGCCGAAAATAAACAAATGCTTATTATCTTGTTCAAAATTGTTTTTCCTGCTCTTTTCAAGTTCAGAAACAAATTCTTGTATGAAATCTCAGTCTTCTCTTTATTGTTTCTGCAACAACGCTAAAATTGAAGTCAAACCGTATAAAGACTGATGTCTTGCTAATCAAGATATTCTTCAGGTCACTGTTTCCGTTCCTACAATATTTGTTACTGAATCTCTGTGTTTATTCATTTTCTTTCAGATATTTCCCAGTTGTCAATAGATCATCTTCCAAAGCATTAAACGAATACACTTATTTAGTTTCGTAGAACAGTACTCTAACCATTGCTCGTTAAAAGCTGCCTAGATACAGTAAGCTGTTGAAACTTAGGACGGAGCCATTCCATCTCTCCTTTCTGTGATAAAATCTTTTTAATCATATCATATGTTTTACGTTGTATGCACTGCCGAAGCTTGTCACTTAAGATGATGACTTCACATATTGAATTTATCCATCGACTGACTTCTTGTTGATCAACTCAAATTTTTTTTAATTTCTATTTTAAACTCATTTAAAGTCCACAGATTGTGAGTTACTACAGAAAGGAACTGTTTTTCTGAAGAAATAGTTTATACAACATAGTATCCTTAAAATCAAAGAGCCACAGAAGCATATATTAATGTCTGTTGTTTTTTCCAGATCATTCATGATGGCCTACTTCGGTTTTGGCCTAGAGTAAATTCAGTGAAAGAAATGCTCTTCTTAAATGAATTAGAAGCATGTCTCGAATGCACAGGACCTATTGAATTCCAAGCAATAGTACCTGAAATATTTCCACGTTTAGCAAAATGCATCGAATCTTTGCACTTTCAAGTAAGTGGATTATAAGAATAACGAAATTTGTTTCAAAGTTTATACTTAAATTCAGAATCATTTGTGGCATAGAGGTTTTGATTAGTAAAAGTATTGACTGCATGACATCAATTTTTGCTAATCCAGTATCCAAACCGTAGCAGTAACCTTTATCCTGATTTATTACCGTGAACGCCACGGAATTCTTAGTCGTAACAAGACGCACAATTCGAGAGTATTAGGCCTCAGCAGTAACCAACTTACTGACGACAACACTGACACAGAATGGATACCCGTTGAGATTTATCGACAGGTGCAAAAGATATGCAACATTGAAAAGTACACAGTGTTCTGTTGCTAAGAAAAATGTCTGCATCTCGTTACCTATCCAAAAGTTTGATGACCAAATTGCTAAAAGCTTGGACAAGATCGTCAAAGCGGGAGAAATAACAAAGTAAGACAAAAGACGAATGAAATCGAATGGACCTATCCTTCCTCCCTTTTACGGTGTACCGAGACATGCCTCTACGACCAATAGTCTTACTAACACCTTGATCAAAAACGCTTTCAGTGACATCAAACTCACAACGCAAAGTAGTTGGATAACCAACTGGCATTCCTGGATTTTTCGGTCAGTAGTTCCACTGCCGGGAAATTGGAAACTCAGGTGTACAGGAAGTCAACACAAATGGATCAAATCCTCAACTACGGTAGCAACAACACAACAGCGCACAAAATTAGTTGCTTGTAGACTCTGTTCAAAAGAGCGAGAACCCACTGCAACACAACAACTTTACTGTGAAATGAAAAAAATTGCTTGATGTTTATCTGAAAGAAAAGCAGTTACTCACGAGACTTCATCAGAAGATGCCTGTTCCGTTCACCCTCAACCACAAAGTCATTCACACAAATCAACAAAAGGGTCATCTTACCATATATAAAGAGATCACTGCAAAATTGCTGAGACCACTCGGAATTAGTGTGGCTCATAAACCAACAAATTCCCTCCAAACACTATTGTGCAGACCAAAGGACGCAACAGCCGAAGAAGACAAATCGTCTATTCTTTACAAAGGCAACCGCGATAACTATTGTCTACACTGCATTGGACAAGGTGGTCATGCCCCTCACCTTCGTTTACATGAACACGAATTGGCTATTAAAACTCAGGACATTTCAGTGCACATGGATAACTATGGGCATGAATTAAAATTTCAAAAAAGGAAATGTAGTAGAGAGGAAACACAAAGAATATCAAAGAGTTCCTAGAAGCTTGGCATTTAGGTCAGTCAGCAATCAATAGATGTATAGACATAGACCCAATCTACCAACCAATAAGGAAAGTGATGAGCACTCACAAGGTCAAAGGTCAGGCAAAGAAACACTTGACAAGAAAATCTATGCGGTCAATGACACGGCAATCAAATGGAACAACCAATCCCAAACCAGTTCATCAGAGTAAGCTACTGAATCACTCACAGAGAGATATTGTCCGCTCGCTTCATATTGAAATTATTGCTGATGGTTTTGTCTAAAAGAAAATGAAAGCTTCATGGTCAGACTATCCAACTGAGAAAACACATCACAGCCAAGATTGTCCACCTGAGCTGCAAATATTCTCAACCATTTCACTACATGAACACTTCAAAGACCTAAAATGTGTTTAAATGTAACCAGATTTTATTCTAAAAATACAGTGAAACTACAAGTCAATATAAACTGGGTAAAGTTACGCCGTAGATTTCAAAAATTGGCCTAAAGGCATTCCCAGTATCAGTGTATAAACGCAAGTTTCAAACCATTATAGAGATACTTCCATATTAGATTTGTTTATTTGATAAATAGCGCATAGTGATACAGTATTGTTTACTTGATTACGTTTCGAGCATAAATTATTGCTCATAATCATACCATACATTATAGAGATATCTGATACAAATAGAAAAGGTTCCCCGAATAAAGCAAGGTAAGCACAAATATGATTGAAGATTACTTGGGATTATAAACATATCGTTACATTGTCTTCGCTTGTAAACATAGTTTGAGAAACATTGAAAACAACTGTTAACAAACCTTATAGTTAGGAAGTGGAGCAGTAAAATCTTATATTAACGGTGGATAGTGGCTAACGTTGGAATCCAGGACCCGGGTTTCATCCTAGTAGGTTACTCGTCAGCTGGAGGTTCCTGCCTCTTAGTAAATGATATTGTCCCCATTAGAAAGCAAACCGGGGACGGTCTCTTCCAATGCTAGAGTGTTACCCAATGGCTGCTGAGTTACAATAGGCACTCCTTGTATGATGGGTGTAGTTTACATAATGTTGTCTGCACTATTCCGCCGTTGATTGAACCGAATTGATTGTTCTCCATTGGCATCCATGCAGGAGTCTATGTATCAATACAGACATCAATTCAATTCATTCAACGTCTAGATAATATATGTAACAACATAATATCAACAAAGTTGTTTGAAGAAAGCATTGGGAGACGGTATACGTGCATAAATTTTTATTCAGAACTGATAAGGATTTGGAATGAGAGTTGTGGAATAATGTTTTGACCGGGGTTATGTAACAAAACAAAGAAATGAATGTAGGTTGGGAAGAAGAAGACTGATTGCAACCCACCGGTTTCTAATTACGATCGATCCAAACAATTAAGAAGAAAATGGGATTATTATAAAAGTGAAACTTGGGCACTGTGAGATGATTAACCTTTTTACCAAGAAAGTTAACCATGCCTTCTTTCTGAAAACGAAGATTATGTTTTAACGTTTCGATTGATAATGGCTCTGATGAACTGAATTAGGGTGCGTTTTTAACCAGTTACTCTTTAATTACGGTTGTGAAGTGAGACAACTAGAACAGATACCAAGTTATAGGATGTTTTGCATTGTTATATCTGTCTATTTGTGTTTCTATTTATATGAATTACTCTTTTTTGACAGTAACACTGTTTTTAGTTCCATATCATTCACTCAACCGTCTACCATTGATTGAAAGTGTACTCCATAGGCTAAAACACAATGTACTATATATATATATATATATATATATATATATATATATATATATATATATATATATATATATATATATATATATATATAGGTTTGTCAGGGACTGTGTATACAAACATCAGGAATGATAAAACATCTGTTTTGCTTCTCAAACGCGCTTACTTCACAGGTTTCTGAAAGAGCACTTATGTTTTGGAATAACGAATATCTGTTGTCACTTATGTCAGAAAATATTAACACAGTTCTACCGATTATCTTCAGTTCATTGGCAAAGTCTCGTAATCATTGGAATAAGTAAGTGAAAACATAATACAGAATACTTTAGAAATAAATCTATGATTTTGTTCAGACTATCCATGATGTATGATATTGCTTCGATTAACCCATCGTTAATTGAACCAAAATGATCGGTTTTTAATTTGTATGTGGGCTCCTGCGAGAACACTTCGATTTTGCCTGTCGTTTCAACTATATATTAATGATGGATATTGGGTGGCAGTGAAGTCCATGATGTGCTCTTCATCCTATTTTGAACTCGTCAGCTGAATGTGCTGGCCTCACAGTCGGCGATGTTGTTCCCACTAAGATCCGAACCTAGGACCAATCACTTCAAACGCCAGAGCTATAACTTCAAAATTACACTATGCTCGTCGCAAAAAGAGTGACCACCGTGCCTCGGTGGTCTTGTAGACATTTCTCTGGCATTCGAGACTATTAACACTGGGTTCGAGTCTTCACGGGAAAATTATCACTCACCGGGGGGGGGGGGGCAGGTACATCTAGTTGACGAGTCCAAGATAGGAGGCTACACTCGTCCTGGGTTCCACTGCTAGCCACTGTCCATCGTTATTATTTATATTGAAAAAAGTGCGAACAAATGAAAAGATTTCATGAAACCAGTTTTATTCTTCCATTTCAGAGAGCTTGGTTTCAGTAAGTAATTATATTCTAATGAGACAGGTTTAAGCTAAGTTTCCGTGATATGAATGATGAATCAATAATGAAACTGGAACGAAAATAATTCTAATAGGAAATGTCTGAGAAACCATCACTAAGGGATGATTCATATCTTAGATATTAAGAAGCCTAATTAGTTAATCATGTTTGAACCATGGTAGCAAAACAAATTTAACAAAATATTTTGGTATGCATAGTTTTGGTCTGAATTTATAAACCACCAAGGCTTCTACAATATCTAGTAACTGGAGGTGTTAACATTTAGGAAGCCTTAATGTATTTGAAAATGGTATCAAACAAAGTATTCGAAGCTGAATGTCACGTTTCCATCACATGTTGCAAAATAGATAAGTTGATTAATCTTCATTGACCTTTACTAAATCACACTGATAGATATTTTTGAAATACAGCGAAGGTTAAGCCTCGACAAACGACCTACTTACTTAGTTTCACAAGAGCAGGTGAACTGAAAAACGCTCATTGAACTGGCTAGTCTTGTTAGCTTAAACTTTACAACTTTAATATGATACTCAAAGGTTTGCTGCACGAAACGTTTTAGAAATCTATCTTTCTTGACAGCTTTTACAGGATATCCTCAGCAGCACCAATTCTAAATTCTAAATTCAAGAACAATATCTTACTCATAACAATGCTGATGACTGTTAAAACGTTCTTAGATTTCATATTTTTGCGTAATAGAAGGCAGGTTAAACGAAGAAATATATTTCTTTTCAGTTAGCTCCCCATCATCGACTCTACACCAATACACAGATTTTACTTTCAATCTTAACTAGAAAAATTATAAATTATTAGTTATCCACCAGTCAAACAATTAGAGAAATGATGATGGAAATTACTTAAGATGTAAAGTAAAATAAAAACGTTGTTAATTCATTGATAGTATAAAAACTAGCACGAAAGTTGAAAAAAGCTTGAGGTGAGTGAAAACATGTCAACAGTAGAGAAACGGAAAACAATCAGTCAGCTGGAATTTTATGATAATTATACGGATGATACTTTTATAGTTGTCCAAGATGAAGCTGATAAGAATGCTATTCTTGATAAGTTTAACAGCCTTCATCCAGTCATCCATTTTCACAGTAGAAGAATGAAACGACTACATATCTTTTCTACATATCAAATTATTGAGAAGACTGAATGAAACGATAAAATGAAGCATATACGGAAAGCTAACATTCATTGATCACTACACTATAGTTATAAACGTAAACTGATTAAATGACTGGTTCATCATGAAAAGTCATTTGCTCTGACATCATAAAGGAGAAGCTTGATATCATACGTAGCCTCCTTAACGAGAATAAATATCTTGCCAAATTCGTGACTAAGCATATGAAGGCCTATGAAATTTAAACCAAAAATAATTACACTCGCTAAAAACCCTGTTTTCCTGAAACTTCAGTTCAAAAAGGAATCATTTGTAGACTCCTGCGCAAATAATGATTTGGTGATTCGAGGTAGTGTGTACAAACACAAGGATATCCACAAAGGGATGTGGATTTGATTTCACCAGATGGACACACTAAAACCAGATCGACTTCATCTCATTGAGAGGAAAGTGGAGACGCAGCCTACTTCACACAAGATGAAGGAGGGGAGCAGATGCAGGTTCCACACCACTCACTTTCTAGTGCAAGCAACCTACCTACAAAATCAAGTTGAAAGCCTGCAAAGAAGTTGGTGATAGGCCACAGTTCAAGTACAACAAACAGAACAGAAACTTGAACTGAAGAACGAAACTAAAAAAGACATATTCACGTCAGTAGTCATCAGGACAAAATGGCAGACATTAAGCAACATCCCCGAAGAAGCCTGCGTTGACAGAGACGTGGGAGGAAACCTGCTTAGTCTTGTCAGGGAGGAAAAAGAAACAAGACAAGGAATAGATCTTGATGGACACATGGAAGCTGATAGAGAAGGGAGAGGAAGATGGTGAAGCAGAAGATGAACCAGTGCAGTGCAGTGCAGGGATGAAAAATGAAAAGAGGAACTGAATACAACCTATAAAACACTACACTGGACAAAGAAGTGAAGAAAAGTGAGCGGAAAAACAAAACACACTTCCATGACACACTGACAAGTGAAGCAGAACAGTCTGCTGGTAAGAGAGACAGAGACCTGAAAACATTGTATCAAATAACCACGTTACTATCTGAGAAGAGATCAATGCAGAAGAAGCCAATGAAAGATAATGAAGGGAACGTAGTTATCAAAGAGGAGAAACAAAGGAAACAATGGGCTGACCACTTCAAAAAACTCTTGAATCGACCACCACCACCGCTTGCTTTGTTTTAAAAGCCAATTGTTATAACAAATAAAAGAGATATATGTTTGCCTTATATGCTAAATAACTTAACTTGCTTAAAATGTTTTAGCCAACTTATAAAACACCTCTACCTATTCTATTTTATGAGAATGAAGAGTTTGATGGAAATCTTAGGATATCTACTAAATACTTGGTCATTTTTCTGAGTTATTTTCAAAAACATTTTGACTCTTTTGTCATTTCTTCCCCATATCAATCTGTAGTAAACTCATTTTGTCCCCTTGAACATATCATTCAATTTTTAGGCATTGTAAACTTTTCAGATGTTTGTCTGCATCAAGAATGTCTGACAGTATTCTACACACTTTCTTCAAGCCTTGTAGACTTGGCGCTTCTTTTGGTTTTCGGTTTGCTGATCAAGTTGTGCTTGAAATACATCGTTCGCAAACATTCGTGTTTTGGTCTTTTCAATATGCGTCGTTTTTAATCGAATTATTATTAGTAGCAGACACTGGACCTATCGTATACATGAATAGAAGGCATTCTCTGATATCGTGGATCGATTAATTATAACCGATAGTTGCACTAATGGACTGAAAATCAAACAAGAACATGAATACTTTATACAGTGGCTACTCGAATCGATAAATCTATTGAATTTCGTTTCTTTTGCATCAGTAACCAACTTGTCGTAATTCATGATTCACTTGACTTTTCGTCTGGAATTTAAGATGGGGAACAGATTTTTCGATGAATCATGATGACTGCTTTGAGAGTTGTCTGCATTACACACAGAACTACAGATGATGACAACATTTTCGAGTAATTATGCTCAATAAAATGCTGAGAGACAAATTTGTTGAGATTTACAAATAAAGTTCAACTGAGCATGAGATATCCATCCAGTTGGCTGCATTTTTTTGGCTTACATTCAACTGTTTTATCTGACACTGCCACTTTCAGGGTCATTACATTTCTGTTCAACTCCTGTTTACCTGCCATTGTGAAGTTTAACAACTCAAACCAGAGAAGTTTGATATTGGGTTGTATGTTGCTTTGTCTGTCTGCTTCTTATCACCTAATATTCATCATTCACTTGTGCTAATGAAAAATGTTTATTTTATCTCCTCATAGAACTGTTCATGGATTAATTTGTAATGTACTGAACTGGGCGATTGAAACGGATCAAAAGCTTGTTGAACAGTGTTCTACGAAACTGACAGAAGAACAGAACAAGTGAGTGGTGAAATTTCTCCTGATTTGTCTTTCATTATTTCAGTGATATCTATGTGATACAATTTCGAGGATAGTTGATCTGCTTTCCTCATCTAGCTGATATTAAATTAGAGATTGGAAAGTGTAGTAGGACATGATGATATTGTAGTTGTTTCAATATTGTTTCTTTTGTTGAATTAATCGGCAACAAAATTTCCAATTTTAGGGTTTGTGGGAATTGATTTACTAATTTTACGTTGGTATTCATCATGGAGGAGTCGTGTACTAGGAAGAAACAGCTATCCAGTGCTCTTAGGTTTCAAATGTCTCTCCGATTGATGTCACGCCATGATGAATACCAATCTGAAATAAAATTTTCCATCAGTGATTGTATAGACTTTCCTGTCGGCTGTTCTCTCTACTTGACCTCTCACTTTTCTGTTGTTTATCACCTTTCCTATTGGTTGATAGATTGGGTCTATGTCTATACATCCGTGGATTGCTGACTGACTGACCTGAATGCCAAGCTTCTAGGAATTCTCCGACATTGTTTGTGTTTCCTCTGTGTAAAATTTCTACATTGTCGAAGTTGAATTCATGTCCATAATTATCCACATGCATTGAAATGAGTGATCAAATGTCATGGTGTTTAATAGCCAATTGGTGCTCATGTAGACGAAGACGAAGAGGGTGGTCGATTTGTCCAATATAGTGTTGACTACAGTTATTGCAGTTGATTTTGTAAATGAAATTCGGTTTGTCTTCTTTGGTTGTTGCATCCTTTGGTTTGCACAATTGTGCTCGCAGGGAATTTGCTGCTTTATGAGCCATACCAATTCCACCAAGTGGTCTCAGCAATCTTGTCATGATTTCTGATACATTTTTTATGTATGGTAGGAAGATGCATTTGTTGATTTGTGTCGATGACTTTGTAGTTGGTGATGCACGGGATAGGCATCTTCTGATAAAGTTTCGTGGGTAGCCGTTCTTCTTTAGGGTGGACATCAAGTAATTTTCTTCGTTTCTCCGTGAAGTTGTGCTGCATGTGTTCTCGCTCTTTTGATTAGAGTCTGCATGAAACTGATTTCGTGTATTGTTGGGTTGTTGCTATTGTAGTTAAGGATTTGGTCAGTGTGTGTTGGCTTCCTGTACACTTGAGTTTCCAGCTTTCCGGCATTTGTCCTACTGACTAAAACATCCAGGAATGGCAGTTGGTTGTTTGACTCTTTCTTCATTGTGAATTTGATGTCATTGAAAAAGTTGTTTATCAAACTGTGGGTGTTTTCTATATCATCTTTTTTAATGATGACAAAAGTGTCGTCTACATAGGGAATCCAAATTTTTGGTTTGATCACAGGTAGAATAATGGCTTCTGCATCACTGCTTCTGCAATTAATCCGGATATCGGTGATCCGAATTTAGTTCCTTTCATCTGTTTGTATATTTTGCCCTTGAACTGGAAGTATGTTGTCATACAAGGGTGTATGAGTTCCATCAGACTTAAACATTTGAGTTTTGTGCGTTCTGAAGGATTTTTGTCCTCATTGATCAGGAGGGAAATATCGTTTCCTGGCCAATTGCAGAAGCAGTGATGCAGAGACTGAAAGCCAATATTCTACCTGTGATCAAACCAAAAGTTTGTATTCCCTATGTAGACGACACTTTTGTCATCATTAAAAAAGATGATATAGAAAACACCCACAGTTTGATCAACGATGTTTTCATTGACATCAAACCCATTTTCAAATAGATCCATTTCAAGAATAACCAATTCTTGCTGTAATTTATCCTCTTAACACAAGTTTCTTCCCCAACCAAGTAGTGATCTAACCCGTTTTTATGGTCTAATGAATAGAAGCTGTTTCAGCTGAATACTACTCCGTTCAAGTATTTTTGCTATAAATGCTTCTCTCGTTTGTGATCTCGCCTATTATTCTGATAAATGAATCCAAAAAATTAAACGGTTATCAAGTCTGTGTTTCATTGTAAAGTTTAAACTATAATTCACTGTGTTACGAGTTCGATATATTTCTGAGGCTTTGTAAATATCTTCACAATTCTCAAACGTATCATTTGCGCACTTTGTATAAAAGGTGTTATTGTCTGTCACTGACTGCATAACGTCTACTACTAAATTTATCATGAATATGTCAGCAAGAATGGATCCATGAAAACTTTCCATAACCACTTAATTATTTACCTCTAAGAAGAACATACTTTATTGATACGCGATGCTTAAGTGATCGAAACATTTATGCAAACATTTCTAAGAAAAAACCAGTTAGACACACTGAAAGACAATACAACATACTATTGTAGTCTACTTGGTGGCTGACAGTAGAATCCAGGACGTGCCTTTCATCCTATTTAGAACTTGCCAGCTGGATGAACCTGTGCCGTGGTGAGTGATGTTCTTTCCGCTGAAACTCAAATGCAGCAGCCGTCGCTCCGAACCCCAAAGTGTTGCCCACCAGGCCACTGAGGAACGAGAACTACCTTGTTGTGAAAAGGGTATCACCTGTTGCTTAGATGAAACGTCCCTCCTGGATTCCGCTGCTGGTCGACAAGTAGACTACAACATAATAATTACCTGAGCAGTATCGAGGCATCCGCATTGGAGCCTATCCGCCAATAGGGGTTGAGCTGTTCAATTTGGTATTGCAACGAAAAATTACTGGTATCAATACAAAAAATACACCATCCTACCTTGTTCACGTAAGACTCAGTACCATCATCCGTAATTGAAGACTTAGATCTGAAGGCGAATGAAATACTTTACCCCATTTCTTTCAGTTACAATCAGTCTCAATTTCCCGTTCAAACAAGTAATGGGCAACTGAGGGTGTTTCTATTTATCACCATCAAGAGCAACATAGGACCAGGCATTACTGCGTAACGGTTCAAGTTGCTACATCCCATATCAGCACGTCAAATAACAAGGCAGTGAAATGGAAGATGAAGAAGGAAAGAAAAATCGGATAAAGAAGTGGAAAGAAAAAGTAGTGAAAGAGGAGAAAGAAGGATGAAAAGACAATGAGATTAGCTGTAGCGGTTAAGATGAAGATAATGTGTTTACATCTGCGCCACTAACGTCGGTTCTCAGCCATATCACCTAAGTCTCCAACCACTGGTTTCTATTGTCCCTCGGACCCCAACCAGCTAGTCTGCATCGCCCCATATGGCTCAAATCAACAGTCAAAGACTTCATACATTGATGCCATGTTTTAGTCTGGTCATCTCAAGCCTTTTTCCAGCCTGAACCTACTTCGGCCAACATTGTGTGATTGGGCAACCGTGACTAGGCCTGCATAACACATGTCCCAGCCACTTATATTTCATCCACAATTCGGGTTACCAAACGATCTGGTTGCTTCCTGTGTAATTATTCTATAAAACACTCCATGAAGTGTTTCTTCTATATTGAGAGGTCAAGTTCCCTCTTTGCACACTGCATTTATGCTACAGCATAGAAGTGTAATAAATTGGCGGAGGGGAATATCAAGAAATATACTTTGCGGAAATTAAAAATAATTGGTCTATCCATATTTTTTCGCTGATAAAGAAAATTAACCAAACTCTTTCAGCAGACCCACTTTATTCATACACCAGGCAACGAGTTTCAGTTATTATGTGAACTTAAGTGATAATACTTGGCTGCTAGGACTTCAAGATTCGAACTTAAAACCTACTGGTTGACAGTGAACTGCCCAAACCAACAAGCCAAAGATTCACGAATAAGCGTCTGATCAAGCAGCTGGTATTATGGTGGAAGTCTAGAATAATAAGTATTCGACTTGTTCACCATTTGTGTGTTTTCCTTTTGAATGGTTATTGAGTAAATGTTTAAAAGTTTGTGAAAGTATTCTCCAATATTATTTTCTACGTAATCAACTTGATTAATGATCTCACTTTGTTGACAAGGTTAGATTATAACAGGTTTTATTTATCTGATTATACAACTTCAGATGTGAAGTCGTATTCACTGAACAGACTACCTCGAATGCCCGAAGAAATTGCATAACGAAATATATTTGTAAGAGCCCATGGAACATGGAAACTACATTAAATGACGTCCAAATAATCCTGTAGAACTGGAGAATTCGCTAACCAAATAGCGAATTACTGTTCATACTATCTTTCATAGCCACAAAACTGACTTTGAAAATGTTAAAATTATTCAACAATGATTTTTCAAACTAGTAGGAAAGACATATAGCTAAGATGACTTTAAACGCCACCCTAATATATGCTGAAATAACCAATCAAGTTTCAATATTTTGTCTCAGATGATAGTTCTTGATGAAATAAAGAAAATCAACTGGTTAATTCAGCAGTTGTTACATTGAACAATGATGTACTCAACAGAAAGGAAGGCTTAAATATCCAACCACCATGGACAGTATATCTGAAATAACACGCTGTGCATACTACTCATAGATAAAGTACATACACAAATGAACAAACTGAATTTCTCATTCATACTACTTTTCTCACACCTTCACATATGCACACCCATATACATCTCCATTTTGAACTCATGGAATAATAACTGATAACGATAAGATTTATTCCCCTAGTATTGTCATGTATGAAGACCATGATATGATTTGTCTCCAGTTACTATTTCAACATATGATAACTTGTACAGGTTATATTCTTGAAAGAAGAGGATTTCAAGAGTTTGTGATACATTAGAAATGTATTGTTCAATCTCATTGAGATTGTACAAACACATTTTCTTCCTAAATCAGCCATCCAATGCACAACTTATTCAATTGTGTTGGGTCAAATTTTGATGCTGAAGTCTATGAAAGTGAATAAAATTTTAGTTCATTGATCATTAAGAACATAAATTTGATAAAAGATTAGAGTTTTACTTTGAATGACATTCCCTTTAAAGCGCTGACCTTGAAATCAGTAAAAAAGCTATGTCATTATTTTCGATAAACAATATTGTTTTACGAAAGTGTAAAATTGTGTCATGTTTGAACAATATCATTAAAACTATTAATAAATGTATAATTTTCTTGAAACTTTACTTCCATTTCTGAAATCACTATATTTAGAAACGCTATACAGTTACAAAAGCGTCAAGCCTACTGGAATCGAGTGGAGTTAGAAGCTCAAAAAGTGAAGCAACCCACTATGAATTCCCCAGTTAATGTACGAACATCGTCTGTATCTATATCACTTTCTGGCATTAGAAATAAGTATTCAGTTCCCAATTCACCGAATACTAGAAATCCAATAGTTTTAAACGATTTCTATACAAAACTGTCAACAACATCATCAGCTGTTGGAGATGCTACTGGTGGTACTGGTATTAGCAGTAGTGAAAACAGCAGTATTGTAAATAATCTCAAGACTCTTACAATAAATAATCAACCTGGTGAATTTATTGGTATTATGAAAGACATTCCTAGTGATACTGAGTACACATCTGTTAATCCTATACAATCTAATATGCTTGGCTCTTCTTCAGTTTTCAATACTTTATCATCTCTTTCATCAAATACCCGCCTTGCATCCTCAACACCAATTCAAGTAATGAATACTTCTCAAAAAGAACAAAGTTCAACCATCTCATCATTTAGAAAACCGGATTTACAAGGTCAACAGAGTTTAAAACAGCAGACTCAAATATATAATATAAGTAATAATGATACAAAGTTAAACATGACAACTACATCATCAACTAGTTTACTCAATTTTAGCAGGAAATTACGTTCACCGAAACTCAGTACTACGTGAGTTATGATTAGTATTTTGCTTTAATACCTGACATCGTGTCGGATATAGAAATTTTCAACAGTTAGTGTTTTTGACTTCATTAGGAATCGGACCTAGAAGTCTGAAAATTTATTTATTTTGTCTTGCTATGAAGCTCGACAGAGTTTTAAAGTTGTAGTTACTAGTGAAATATTTTGGAATGAGACGAAAAATGTGTCTGATACTCTGTAATTTTTCAATGACCACTAAAATGAAAAACGTTTACCGAACCTGGTACTTTGTATGATTAACCAATAACTCCTTCGCAATAGATCAGCTTCAAGTGTTTGACAAAATTTTTTGATTCATTGATCTTACCAGTGAATTACCTGAAGATTATCAGAATATGTGTCCACACATACATTTTATTTTATTTAATTTATTTGTCCCTTGGGTTATCAGTGGAACAGAGGGCTTCACTACCACGTCGCGATTTCACTCTCTTCTCTACACTCTTTACAACCTGGCTCCACGACTGCACACAAACCTTCATTCCTTCCTCACATCATCTCCTCCATGTCACACTTGTCTCGGACTCCCAGCTCATCCTCTCCCCTTTGCGTTCCACTCGAGGGCATGGCCTGGCGCGTGATTTCTCCAGTCCGCCTTCTTAGTGTATACCCAGTCCAATCAATCTCCACTTTCTCCTACATATTCATTGGGCGATGGATTCTTGGTTGGTTCGTTGTCAGCAAGCCAGCCAGCCAGCTAGCCACAGTTCCTTGTTGCTTATTCTTATCATCCTCACCATCTATCTGATCTCCAATATCAGTATCGAGTGAGCATAGGTGGCAGCTGTTGATGAATGTCTCTAGTTTGTTGGAAATGCTTTCGTGACGCACCACCAAGTTTCTCAACCATCACATAGAAGCACTACCCTACTTGACTGAGTTGGTGTTGAAAATCCGGATCTTGTTTACGCTTTATGCTGATTGCAGTGCAGTGCAGTGCAGCGCAGCACAGTAGATCTCCATACTGATTTCAGGTTAATGAATTAAGGTCCGTCTCGATGTCTTTCCGATCCTGACATTGACATCCTCACCTGTGCCCCCGCTACAGCCGCGGTCGCCAGTAGTTGAAACGATGCTGCCTTGTCTAGGCTAGGTAGGTGGAAGAGACTACTTCCTTCAGATTTCTTCCGTTCATGGTGATTGGTGCTTGTTGTTGTTGTAGGTGGTGGTGGTGGTGGTGGCTGGGTATCTTCATCACCTCTGTCTTCTCTGCATCTTCGAGTCTGTGCCACAAGACACTAGACATAATTCATCATCATCATCGGCGAAATGCAAATCTTCTTCTGAGGTCTTTTCATCGGTCAACACAGCATATGCCCATCTCCTCACAGCTCCTCACAGTTGCCTGTCGCATGATCCAGTTCAGTCCAGTCCAGTCCACTTCACTCTACTCCAGTCAAGTCGAGTCAAGTCGAGTAGACCACAATCAGGAAGATCATTGGTGATAGTAGGGAACCTTGTCTTGTCTTACTCCTGTCTTCACTTCAGTGGCATCACTGAGCTTTCGATTGTGAATCACTTGGCTGGTATGTAGCATCATATAGGATATAAGTGCTGTTGAATGAGATTGATAAAGGTTTATGTCAGTGAAAGCGTAGTTTTGAAGCAGCTGCCTGCCAAATTGCCTCTCTGTCGACGCTGTTGAAGGGCTTTTCAAAATTAATGAAGTTGAAGTAGAGTTGAATTGAGTTGACTGTCATTCTATGCTCTGTTGTATGACGATGTGTAGTGTCGGGTTGCAATTTGATTGGCACATGATTTGTTCTTCCTGAAGCCAGCCAGCCAGCGAGCTTGTTCTGGTAGTAATTTTGAATCCAGGAATATTGTACCATGAGACGAAACTGTGTCTGATTCTCTGTAGTTTTTCAATGACTACTGAACTGAAAACAGTTTGCCAAACCTAATACTTTGTTTGATTAACCTATAACCTCTTCGAAGCCAATCAGCTTTAAGTGTTTGACAATATTTTTCGATTCATTGATCTTATCACTGATTTACCTGAAGACGATCAGTATGTGTGTTCACACATACATAGGGCAGCAATCGTGTCATGCAGTTAAGAATGTGCTTGAATGGCTCCAGAAACACATAATCTCTAACAGTTTAATAAGTGCCTATGATAAACATCCTTCTTCTTCGATAGCAAAACACATGGTAGAAACTGGTCATGAGATTGATATGAAGACAGGTTTTACTGTACTGTATAGATATGGCCAAAGATGAATACTTAGATATATAGAAGCAGTTGCTATGCATAAATTCAAACTCCCTCTATGTATTCAGAAGGAATTTGTACTTACACTAAACCTACTCCCTGGTAGTTGGTCGTAGTGATTTGACCTTTTATTATTTTTCTCCTCTCTCGCTTTTGATCTGCCCTTCTTATATTTCCTTATTATTCTATTGGCCTAATTAACCTTTCTAAGTTTTATATAAACTATTGGACAAGTTTACGTGCGATCAAACTGTTTGAAACTTATAGCGCTAATACATCACATGTTTCAGATAATCTTTGTCTTCAAGTATTTAGCAATTTCTTCATAAAATGGAAAGTTACTGGTTATTCAACAAGTATAATACTTTTTGCAGTTTGCTAATTTCCGAAACAAAGTTGAGCATCAAGATTTGTTTCTTATTTACAATGATCAAGAATGCATATCAGTAACTTCAATCAATTGTTCCGTCAAATCCGTATTATTTGGAGAAGTTAGGATTTTCTGGCATTTAAATAACATGTGGTGATGTAGAGAATTTGTAGATCAGGAGGATGATTTTGATGGTCTTGTGTTCTCTGAGATGGATGGTTGGATCGTAAAGCTTTCATTGTCTGCCTTGACGACACCGTCAACGCAAACTTGAGAAAAAAGTGATGTGTGCGGTTTTCTCCACAAATGGCTTGGTAGCTTGGCTTGATTGCCTTGTGTGTGATTGGTCTTGTTATTGTCTCCATATTCATTTCGGCTGGTTGTCCTGCTGACGTGAACTTTGACCTTTCAATTGATTCTTATTGGTTGATAGATTAGGTCAATGTCAACATATCTGTTGATCGCTGAATGACCTAAATATCAAGCTTCTCTGACATTCTTCGTATTCCCTCTATCCAGGATTTCCACATTTTCCCAGTCATATTCATGTCGACAGTTGTACGTATACACTGATATGAACGAAGATATGCCATAACGCTTCACTGCTAGTTGATGTTCATGTAGGTTTTGACAAGCAAATCAGTCGATAAAACTATGAACCGACAGCGACTGAGATGACTTGAACATGTGTTACTCATGCCCAGTCATTGTCTACCTCGGTACGGAATGTTAACCTAAGTAGGACTGGGCTGAAAGAGGACTTAGAATGGCCAGATCAAGACATAACACTACTCATTGAAGACTGTGGGTCTAGTGTGCGTAGGTTGATGCAAACTCCCTGGCTAGGATCTTCGAGATAAGGGATATCAGTAGTTGGAGAATGTTGGTGACAAGGCTGAAAATCGGGCACAATAACGAAGATGTAACCACTGGCTGTCATCTTCAAAGTTTTGAATATTTTCATCAACCATTTTATATATATTCTCTTTACCTTCATACACTTTTGTCGACTTTGATGTCACTCTTTTTCTATCCACTTCTTTATATGCTACTGTGAAGTGTGGGGACTTGAAATGGTCCACACCTGGGTGAAGTTTTGCGTTGATTTTTCTGTTTGGCTATTCGATGCCGACGAAGTGGTATATCTGAGATATTTTAAAGGAAAAATTCCAGTTTACTTTGAAGGAACTAGGGAGATATCGGTTGAAAACTTTATTTTATAGGCTTCTGTGAATTTATCCGTGAATCCCATGTAGATTTCTGAAGCACGGCAAATGAAAAATACCCTGTTCAGTTAGTAGTCAGCTTGATCAAGATGAGTCTTCAATAGTGATTTCATAAGATCTACAGAAATACTCACTAAAGTGTTCCAAACATGAGTTATATCTCAAATTTGTATATGCTTACGGAGGTTAGATGCTAATTGAGATAAAATACAGTGAAATAGGCAATCCTTCTTAAGTACAGTCTTAACTTTAACATATTGTTCAACTTGGTACTTGTGTGAAGTTTTCATCCAACCTACTAAACCTCCAAATAACCTGACTAACCTATATGCCTATTCACATTGAAATATATATATATATATATATATATATATATATATATATATATATATATATATATATATATATATATATATATGATAGTTCATATATTATCAAACCTTATAATGATTTCAACTGTTTCCGTTCATTTTTACAGTGTAACGCAACCAACAAGGAAACCAACAACTTCTGCACAAAAGCAGCCAGTAAGCATTTACCTTAATGTTACCTTATGAACAGTTTGACAGATTCTAATCAAAAATATTCATCCTTTCAAGCACAGCAGGATACACAATGTATTACAGGTAATGATGAAATTCTCAAGATTTATGAAAAAGTACGATATTTAACCAACTGTTGGCTGCATCGCACAAAGTTCGATATCATTTCTCACGTAGATGAAGAAATGTAAGCCAACATTCCCCTATCTGAATCAGACTACTAGCTGAAAACGTTATGGATGAGTGCGATGTTTTGGACCGACTACTCTTAGCTTTATCCAAACACACTCTACTTCGAAAATAATGCATTGTAGCAAACATTGAGTTAGTATGTGTAACATATGCTAGAACTACTTAGGTCGCTGTTTGTTCATATTCTCGTTCCCTGTCTGATGTCTTTATCTAAAGTCAAACTCATAGCCTACATATTCATCATCTGGTGATCGCACTACGTTTGATTATTTGTACAGAAGTTAGAACATGTGGGCCGTTGTAACGTGCTCATCGTCAGATCTGACAGTCCTAAGTGAAAACCCCTTACGAGGTTATTGTTGCGCACTGTTGAAGAATCCCAAACATGAAAAAAAACAGCTGTCACGTGCTTCCAGGTTTACGAGGTGATATTCGGTCTGTAAATAAAACTCTTTGCATTGGATTTTGTTTTAAAAACTACTACCAAGAGTTTAACATTACAAACCGAAGAGTGAATTAGTTTTTATTGAAAGTTCTATCCTCTTAACTAAATATCTCAAGTAGTATTGCTGTATTTGTAACACTCTTCTGAATGTACAATGGAATATTGATCCTTAGATAACTGTAAGCCACTCTGTAGCCTGTCTTCAGGAGAATTTTCATTTATTATTATGTTTAATAATTCATAAAATTGAAGTTCAATTGTTGCACGATTGAGTTTTTCATAATTAACTCAGTACATGATTTTATAAACTTCGGGATCAAAATTTGACCTGATAGAGTTGAGCAGTGGGTAAATAGATTACAAATATACCTCATTTTTTACTTAGTACACTGTAACTCAGAATAGTTTTCTTTCCTGTAATTTTGTCGATTACACGTTCCTTCATTTCATACTTTTAGGAAAGTAACGCATTTACTGATTAGTATGAGTTTTACAACTGAATATTAACTGCGCATCATCATCATTTGTATCATCATTGTCACCTCTCACATTCCTCAACAGTGCACAATAATACAGTGAACAACATCTACATACTGTGAAATCGCGAAAGTATTACAAAGTTATAAAAAGAGGAGGGCTCAGGGGAGGAATGATTGACTAGATATAATAGACTGACAAAATGAGGACAATGTGTAGATGTGTCTGCACCACTGAGATTGATTTTGAGTCATATCTCACCTAGTCTCCAACCACCGATTTCGGTTGTCACGTGGACCTCAACTGGGAAGTCTAAGTTCTTCCATACAGCTCAGACAAGCAGTCAGGGACTTCACGAACTGATATTATGTTTAATCTGGTTACAGCCTAAATCCCCTTCACCTAATATAGCTGGTGACTTGGCACAGATGCGAACCTTGGACACAGTAATTCTGTTTCAGTTTATCCATTAGGTATATCACGCAGTGTTGTTTACCAAATGACGTTTTGAATACAGTTTATTGTTCTTAATCATACAGAAGTAACTTCACAGATTTGAGACATGGTTTATACAGTTCTAGTAGTCTTTCCTCCTTTTGTAACAAAAAAAAGTAAAATTTTCCATATATCTGGAAAAAGTGTCAAATCATTCCAATCGCTTATGTCCGTTTTTCACTCGATAATCAAAATTTCGGTTATCATTCTCTCTCCCCAGCCAATGAACTTAAGACTGTCACTGCCACGTCCCCTTGCTGGTTATAGTTGCAGCCTAGTAGATCCCTTATCTTGCTGCAGTTAAACCAATCTACTTTTGGTGAAAGTTTTGTGCCAGGATAGCCTAACTGATTTTAGTTGGCTAATTTAACTTAGATATTTGATCGCGCAATCCTTGTCTGAAAATTGGAACAGCAAATCACTTTGTCAAATTAGCAAAATATGATCCTTTATTCTAAAAGGCTTGTCGATGGACTAGAATAACACTCTAATTTCAGCATTGTTGAAAATTTAACTGAGTATTTTTGAGATACTTTCCTTATTTGGAAATACTGTTTTGTCGTCACTGCTAGTATTAACGGTTGCGTTGCCGCTACTAACTATATTTTTTTTAAGTAGGATGATCAATCAGCGAAATGTACGGACCACGTTGATATCTCCCACAGCTGAGTTCTTTCTCAACTGCCCTTCTGTGGTGTCAACATGGTTTTTGTAAGAAATCACTCAACCATGATCACAAGATGTGGTCGCTGACACAAGTGTTATGAACTAGCGGAAGATACTACCACAGAACAACTTGAGTAGTTAGAAACCAGTGAGGGTGATTTGCAGATTTTGCCAGCCATGGTCCGAATACTTTGTAAGTTATTCGTAAATTGATCATCTTATTTTAAGGATATTGGTTCATGCAAGTCAGTTAGTCAGATTCAGGTGATGTGAACCAATTCAGTTCTATGGGGTGAATTTTCCCGAGTACACCATTGATGAACTTCACTCCAAACCAGCGAAATGGCCGTGTGGTGCTTAGACAACTCTGATATGGTTGGTAAAGTCTACAGATCGTTTCTAATTACTCAAATCGTTCACTAGTAGTATATTTCTCCAATAAAGTTACTACAAAATTTAGGCATCCTTAATTGTTTATCTGCATTTGAATCTTTTCAATAAATATTTTTATACTGGGTGATGATTGAAAGTGAAATGAAAATCTCGGTCGCAGCAGAATACTTACTACCGGCCTTCGGGTTACCGATCCAGTGTTCTACCAACTGAGCTACGTGGTACGGTTGCTAACCAGATCTTAATTTCACTTCAATCACTAAGGGTTTTGCCAAAATTCCATGCGAATCCACGATACTTAACTGTTCGTTCATCACAATCACACTGGCTCCCCAGCGAGTCTTCCCGTCCTAAATTAAATAGAGCTGATTTAGAGATGCAGCGTTATACTGATTATCAGTTTGGACAATCTAAGACAAGCAAAGTTTGGTAGACTTGTATTATTGATACTGGTTAGCCAGTGTGATTACAATGAAGGAAAAGTTAAGCATCACGGATTCACACGGAAGCTGGGTTAAACCCTTGGTGACTGAAGTGGAATTAAGATCTGGTTGGCAGCTGCATCAAGTAGCTCGGTTGATTTAGCACTGGTTCAGCGACCCGGAGCCCGCTAGAACGCATCCTGCTGCGGTCGAGACTTTCATTTCACGTTCAATTATCACCTAGCATCAGTATTACGAGCCTGCCAAACTATGGCTATTTTAGACAGTCAAACTAACTGATAAAAAGTATTCTTATGACCTATTACGCGTCAGGCTCTCGAGTGGAATCCCGATGAGAAGCGACGAGTTGGACGTCCGAGGGTGACATGGAGGAGATCGTGCGAGGAGGAAATGAGAGCTTCTGGGCTGTCGTGGAACCAGGTTCAGAAGATCTCAGAGAACAGAGGTCACTGGAGACGTGCTACTGAAGCCCTATGTTCCATTAGGAACCCAAGGGACTAATAATAATAATAATAATTACCTTAATACTTTGTGGAGCCTAATTTAACTGATGATCTGAAGTGCAAGTAACGGTTCAGATGTAAAGGTTTTGTCTGCACAATAGTATCTGTCGTATCTTCTTTTTGTTTTGTCCTACAATCAAGCTTACGTAGCTCTACCTTATCACGCTACAATTCAGGTAAGATGGATGTGGTCTATTTTTAAATTTATGTACTAAGAATCTCTCTGTGCAAATTTGCCATCTAGGTAGTTCAATTATACATATCTTTAGAGTAGGGAGAAATTTCTCAAGGATTATCCACTACTATCTGCGACGATAAAGGGTATTCATTTCGAAACTTGTACTACTATCATGATTTTTTCGATTGATGAACACTTAGCTCATAATCTAACTGTTTCCAGATCTACGCTGATTAGTCTGAAAATTAGTCATATCAAACACCAACCACATTTTCACCACCACCACCACCATACGATTGTAGACCGATTAATCTTTGCTTTAGTCACATGAAAAAAAATAAGATTTTGAGCCGTTTCCAATTCAACCTAGTACGGTTGCTAGATACTTCGACAACTCATAAGTCCTTTATTCGGTTGATAGGATAACCTGGCTTATGAACATTAAAAGTCTCACAAATCCTTTTGGAATTAAATGAGGCTATTTTGACTTGTATAGAAATGACCTTATTTACAGCATTGAATCCGCTGTAAACTTCTTAGTCTCATTCAAGTATCAGTGTCTACTAGTTTTTTTAATTCTACCATACTTTCCTGTGCATGTTTTAGTAAATACTTGTTGTTTTACGCAATCAGTCACCTTATTTCTCTGTTTCTTTTCAGTTGAAGTCTAATCCATCCATAACAAATACTAAGGATACATTATCGTCGTCACTATCATCATCAGCTTCCTCAGGACAGCCAACTACTACTACTACTACCAGCAGTACAATTAAATCAGAGAAATCAGCAAACCTTAAGCGGACAACACTGAAATCATTGAACAGGTCGACTACTACAACTTAAATTAAAATATGGTGATAATATAAAGTTACTTTACTTTTCTGTTTCTTTCAAAATAGTTAACATTCAGAGATGGTAGGAAAATGTTTTCTTAAATATAAACTAATTTTTGCCAATTAGGAGATGTATATCTATGAACGTAGAGTTATACATTTTTATATATTCAGTTAATCATGTTTTAAACAATTTTTTTTATCTTTTGTATCTAATAACAAGCAGATATAGAAATAAGTGGATTCAGTATATTATGCATGACACAATGATGATGTTGTTGTCTTCATTCAAAATGACCTACGTAATTTTTCCACTGTTCCTCCTATAGACATTCATTGAAAATATCTACTTCTCTTAACTTATTCTTGTGCCTTTTTTATATACATAAGTTGTTTTCCAAGGAAAGAGTGAAATAATCGCATATAATTAAAATGCAGTAAAACAAAACCTTTTTTTATTTTAATTACAAAAGTGAATAATTCCAATATGTCTTAAATGAATATATTTTACAGAAGTTTTGCTTATGGTCGAAATAAGGAGTTGTAAGACTAATGACGAGTATCATTATTCATATACATATATGTAGGCATCTGGTAGATGTATTGTAATGAGTGGTGAAGAAGTATATAAATACAGTGATCGGTCACTGCATGGTAACCAACTTCATGATATCTAATCCTAAGTACTGCTCGAATTCTACCGGTCAGTTTACAGTGTTCTACCAAGCTAGGGGACTCATCCATCATCGCCATCTAGTGGGATAGATGTTAGTTCAACGAAGGCAATCCGCAGGAAGCCCTGAACTTAGGTTTCGTTCTGATTGCTTCCACATACCTAACATCTGTTCCACTGCATCGCGATGGTGGGTGAGTCACCCAGCCTGGTGGGACATTGCGAAATGACCGATAGAATTCGAGTAGCACTTAGGACTAGACAACACTAATGACCAATCAATATCTCTCATCCAGTCCCACACATTGCCAGTCGTGGCTCGAATGACTGAGAGGTAAGGTTTTTGAATACAACACTGCGTGACGCGGGTTCGAATCCCTGGTGGGCCATCATTTCCCTCGAAGTTGAAGGTATGTTTCGCTGACAAGTGACAAAAAGCACGAAACCTAGGTACAAAGTTTCTCGATGATTACCTCCATCTAACTAAGAGCATATGAATGCAAGCTAAAACCAGATTCCATGTTGCTTGGAAAACCTCATATTTGGTACTTGTAACAAAAGAAGAGCTGCATTATTATTTCAGAAAGTAGCATGCACCAATCAAAGAGAGTGGAAGTAATGAAAACCTGTAAAACTTAGCATGTAAGCGAACGGAATCTAGTTGCTATAGGTAACATACTGGCGATATATATATATATATATATATATATATATATATATATATATATATAATGCAATGTAGCAATACTGTTACGTTCTAGGCTACGATTCACGTTTGTTATGTGGGTGTTTTTATGATAGCTAAATAATTCATTGTTTTACTGATTCACGTGGAAATCACTGCCTTCCTTATTTATACTTCATTGTTTCGCATCCAGGAATCACCGTGCAAGATCAGGCAAAGGGTACCAAGCAAGTTGATTCGTGATGTTGTGAACTTTCATCGACTGAGGTAGCTTGGACATGTACTGCGCAGATCGAGTCACCGCCTACCATGACTTACCATACCAAGTGAGGTTGGACTAGGTTAAAAGAGGGATTAGGGTGGTCACAGCAAGATGTGGCACCAGTCGATGACGTTTCTGACTGTTGGTCTGAACAGTGTGGGGAGATGTAAACTACCTGGCTGAGGAATCAGTGGACATAGTTGAAAATCGATCACAGTGACTTCTTCTAAGGCCTGAATATTCGCAATAACCCGTTGCTTATTTCCCCACATAACTTTGTCTACTTTGATATCAGTCGTTTTCTATCCACCTGTTCTTTATATACTACTGTGAAGTGTGGCAACTTGAGCCAATGCACATGTGCACGACGTTCTATGCTGATTTTGTCTCTCCAGGACACAGTCCGATACTCTAGGAAAACACCTTGAAAGTTACCTATATAATCCCTTTGAGATATTTAAGGAGATGACACCCAAGAAGAGAACACTTTTCCTAGCAGTCCATTACTCCTCATAAAAAATTTGTGGTCAGTTTGGAAAAGGCTAAATCGGCTTTTCTAAATAAAACGCCTTGAAATTATGAATAACTACTCTTCTGTGTACTTAAAATTTATCTATCAAGTACATAATTTACCACCAGTTAACTTACTGAATAAAACTAGAAGAAGAAACGCATGTACTGTATCCAAACATAGATATTTTAAAGAATACTTCAAAGAATTAGCGAAGTCAATCACTAATGTACAACCAACTGATGGAATTAGAAAAAATGCTCTAATGTTGCTATGCGCCTTTGTAAAAATCTTTCTGTTTGTTCAGAATATAAATCAAAATCCATAAAAATACGAAACAAATCATACTGTCACAAAAAGTGTACAATTTGAGAGAAAGCTGATAAGTTAGTCTCACATATCACTTGCTTTTAATACATAAATATAACATGATTGCAAGAGAGAGAGAGAGATATATAGACAAGGAACAACCTTATTCATGCATATATATATTTTATATTCATGGTGATAGTTTATTTTATTTTTTGCATAAAAACCAATATTGGATACTGAATAGGTTCACATTTACACTGAAATCATCTTGCAGTGTACAAGATCAATTACTATTACGTAATGTTATACCACTCATAGAAATTACTTCCATAGATATATTTACACACTTGTGCAGACTATTTTTTACAGGGAACAATTATTCACTGAAAGACTGGCATATTTAAACATACAATCATATTTACTCAAAACACTGGATATAATTCCCATCCAATAGTAAACAGGATGGTGTATTATGTGTTTCGCCATCATTTCGACTACTCCAACTTGTTCGATGAATTAAAAATGGTGGTGGACAAGACACAGGTCGACATGAATGCTGTGGAAGTTCATAGACATCAATCACATTACCTGTATGTATATCCCATATACCAATATGATGATTTGGTAATAGTGAACAAGCAATTGTTGTCTGTAAGACAGGATCGACAACTGGAAAAGGTGGAATATGCGATGCAACTGACATTAGATTAGAACCATCTGAACCATAATATTCAATAACTGGTTTATTAGGGAAACGTTCATCCCATAATTCAATCAAACCACATCGTCGACTTACAATAAGACCTAATCGATCACCAGAATGTGTACCAAGACATTGTAAACTACTTATCTCCAAATGTACATTTGTAGCAACACATTGTGCAAGTGTAGTCCAATAACCTGTATGAAAATTAATTAGTTGAATATTTTTTTTATGAGGAGTTAAAGATGGTTCAACCAAGGATAGGAAACCTTTTTCACCGGACACTCCAGCCACATACATAAGTGATTGTCGACCATTAACCGATTCGATACACTTTGTTTCAGGATCATATGATTTCCATAGTGAAGCTTCACAACATGCTGTAAACAATAATTTTTTTCTGTTACGTTTAGGCAAATGACTGTCAGAATTAAGTACACATAAAGGAGTATGATAATTATAGTTGCTGATAAATACTTCCTTTCTGGTCAACACAGTTACAGAACGAGAACTGTACAGATTATGTTCACCTTCAGGTATTAGATACGGTGAAGTGAAGCGAAAAAGAGAAGGATTAAATGGAATGGTCAACTGTGAAGTCATTGTATGAGTTTCATCTGCAAGAGTGTTTTATCGCAAAAAAAAAGAAAAGAATGAACCGTTATAAAGTGCTAAAAAAATTTGTTTAAATCATCAAAGAAATATACACATGAAACCCAAAGAATCCCTCTCAGTCATAGAAATACTCACAAAACAATCTGCATGCATGCTGACTGATTGAACCAAAACAACCATATAAACGATTATGATATTATAAAAATACATTCATCACAATTTATGCTAGGTAGTAGAATGCTGCACAATGGTATTATGCGTAAAGTAGAAATATTTGATTATTTTATCATACAAAACTACTGGGTGATGATTGCGAAAGGGAAATGAAAATCTCGACCACAGCAGGATTCAAAACAGCTGCTTTCAGATTACCAACTCGGGGCTGTACCAACTGAACTACGAAACTCACCTCCTAACCAGATCTTAATTTCACTTCAATCACTCAGGGTTTTTATCAAGTTTTCATGTGAATCCGTTCATTGTAGTCACATTGGTTGGTCAGTATTTGACAACCATGGTTATCTCGGATTATCAAAGTGATAAGCAATATGACTCTCCACCTCTCTAAGTCAACTCAGTTAGAACCGAGACAAGAAGACTGACTGAGGACGATAACTTAAAAGAGTTATGCAGCACTAATGTTCATGTGTCGGTCTATGTTATTGATGTGCTCAAGTATAGCATAGGTTAATACATAACTATTTACGATCATTTTGAGTAAATTATTATTATTAGTCCCTTGGGCTCCTAATGGAACATGGGGCTTCAGTAGCACGTCTCCATTCCACTCTCTTCTCTGAAATCTTTTGAACCTGGTTCCACGACAGCCCACAAGCTCTCATTTCCTCGCACGATCTCCTCCATGTCACCCTCGGACGTCCAACTCGTCGCTTCCCATGGGGATTCCACTCGAGGGCCTGACGCGTGATGCCCCCAGTCGACCTTCTCAGTGTATGCCTGACCCAATCCATCTCCACTTCCTCCTGCATATTTGTTGGGTGATAGGTTCTTGGTTGGTTCGTCACCAGCCAGAGCTCCTTGTTGTTTATTCTTTCTGGCCATCTGATCTTTAGTAGCGAGCGTAAGCTTCGAGTAAATTAGGAAGATTTTTATCGTTACCAACCAAAACAGCATAAAATTACTTATTACTGACGTACCAATAAAATACAAATTCCTCATGATTGTCGAAATTTTTTTTCTTTTTTTTACTCATCTCTACCAATTTTTATACCTCTCACAATTTCTTTAATTCTTCCAATCGGATAAATAACAACGCAACTGTGTAGAGAAATCTCTATTCCCTTCAAAAATAACTTCCAAAAACACATGTCAGTGATCTATGGCACATAAACACAGTCGAAGTATGTTCAGGCTGGAAAAAGCCTGAGGTGACCAGACTAAAACATGACATCAATACATGAAGTCCTTGAGTGTTAGGTTAAACGAAGTACGGCGATCCAGACCAGCCGGTTACAGTCCACGGGACAACTAGTGTTTTGAGACTTTGGGTGATATGGCTGAGAACCGATGTCAGTGGTGCAGATGCATACACGCATTATCCTCATCGTAACTGCCATACTTAATCTCACCATTCTCTTATTCCTTCTTCCTCTCTTTTACTACTTTCTGCTGCTACTTCTACTTCCTTTGACCGATTTTCCTTTCCTTCTTTATCATTCATTTCATTGCCTTGTTACTTGATGTGCTTATAAGAGATGTGGCAACTTGGACCGTTACGCAGTAATGCCTAGTCCTGTGTTGATCTTCATAATGATGATGATGACGATGACGATTATGACTTGAACTCCTCTTCGTTAATTTATGCTCTGACATTGAGTGAAGCATGAAAAGATGATATGAAGTTAGTATTTCCACGTTATCAAGCAGTTTTAATATAAAAATGGCAACTGGTATTCAATCGCAAATCATCATGCACTTACAGTGTACGGTTGCTATCTTATATTAAAAATGGTACAACGAACTTTTAAATAACTCAAATAAACAAAAACTTTATCAATTATCGTTTAACAAAATCATTATCATGACGCTATGTTCAATGATTTCTACACGTAAGTAAAAGATAGACGAACAGCATCCAAGTGATGTACATTGAAGACAAGACAAACAATGATGATTACTTAATCCAATTATGTGATGTGCATTTAGACTAAAACCATGCCCTAATGTGTGAACTTTCGGCACAGTGATGCACATATTCGGCTTATATTCCAAATATTCGATTCCAATACAGTTTGCCTACTTAAATCAGAATAGTCCAGTAGCATAATTATTCCGAATATGGAATCCACAAGAAATGTGACTCACAACTAGGTATATTAAATTATACTTGGCTTGTAAGTTTTTTCATTAAACATCCACTTTTTTCCATTTTACATTATTTTCATCAGGATAGATCTATTCAATGGTTTTGTGTCTGAAAGGTTTTCCATAAAAACATGAGTGGTTGACAATGCTGAACAAATTAAGTGGAAGCAAAACACTCACCTATGGATGCTAAATGAAACTAATTTCAAATTTGTGATACACAAAAATGCCGTTCTCTCACTACTTCTTTGTAGGTTAACTTTTGAGATTAAGACTAGAAAGTAATAATAACCTCAAGGAAATTTCTGGTTTCAGTTTTGTTGCCCAAATAGCATCACAAACGTTCACACAATTTTTGAACATAGGCATATCATTTATACTGTAAGAAATATATGAAGTGATATACACATGGCTTCATCCTTACATGATCCAGATTAATTCCTCCCCCCCCCCTCACCCCCTATATTCCTCATACATTTTCTACCACTGGAGGGTTTCGGTCCTTCCAGAATGTTAATAATAACCAAACGGTCACTTTTTTGAAACTATCTGTTATATATTCCGAGAGGATATAATGCGCGCACTTGACTGACATCTAACTTCGTTCACAAGATCCACAGACTATGACCCGGACAAAATAGAAAAGACTGAACTGGATGGGAGTTTATTCCTACGAGAAGAATAGTCAATTAACCCACGAATACATGTGTGTATGTATATACATGATGTATGACCTTGTCCATAATTTGAGACATTAACATGGTAAAAGGAAGGATTGACCAAACAGCGAGTTACTTTGAAAATGGGGGTAAAATGAGCTACTGACTAGGTGGTAAAAAATGGCTCAAAAACGACAATTTAAAAATGTTTAGACTAATAAACTGTGTTTCATCTAAATCTGGAACCTTTCAACACTATCCTTCAATGTAAAGCATGACTCAGAAACCAAATGCACTGTTTAGATGTTCTGTTCCAAATACCATAGGTTGGCGATGGAAATGACAGATGAAACACAGGCTACTGCTAACCGTTAATTATAAAATGTATACGGCTTTTTACATGAACGTCCTTTGATTAGTATACAGTGAGATATTTTGCTTAGACATTTGGTTTTCTTTGAAACCATGCCAAATACATGAGGCCAATTTCAACTTCACTTTGTGAAAAAAGTCTAAAAAGAGAGTCAAGAAACAACTTGAGGTAGATTCAATAAAATTAAGTTTTGTTAACAACAAAACAACTTGCACTAACAAAGACTTGAAAATGTACCTTATTGACAGAAACAAGGGTACCGAACTGTTTCACAGCTAGATAATAATTAAACATTGTACAATTATCTAAGATCACACACAAACAGAAGTAACTGGAAAGTTCTTCCAAGTGTAGTCATTGTAAATGCTTACCTGAAACTTCAAGAGTTATTAAAGCACCTCCTGAGGTATTCTCAGTTAGCAAAGCGAGTTCTTTTCCTGGAGTACGCCAACGAAAGTCAAGAAAACGAAGGGAACCAAGTTGTCTAGGAAAGATTGCATTAACTTCGGATAACACAAATTTCTGGAGATTTTTAACCAATGATTCACACGTAATCCATTTGAAGGTAAAAGTTTGAAGAGAATTTGAGCTGATTGCATAAAGTGAATTGTTATCTGGATAAACCAAGGCATTGGAAATCTGTCCTCCTACTGGTATTACTTCCCTACATTTCTTATTTTGAAGAAAACAATGTGGCCAGTTACCTGGAAAAACAGTAATGTGAATACAACATTTTAAAAATGTAAAAAGTATGACTTATTAGATGCCTAAGTATGATTGTCAAAATTCTATCATGAGAGAACAGTGTTGCTCCAAACAAAGATTCTAATGATGAGTCACCATCTTACTCCAATAAACTTGAATCGTTCATTAAAAAGCAAAACAAGCAACAAGACCCAACCGGATAAATGTGAGACTTTGGGAGTAATAAAAGGTAGAGTCTGATGTTTCATGTCTTAATAGGACGAAATGCACGTCCTGAATTCCATTGTTAGCCACTAATAGCTAGATGAAAATATTGGATATGAATTCAGTATTCAGATATAGGTGATATTAGAAAAAATAATAACGGCTTATTATACTTCTCTGAGAAGCTCAGAAACGTAAGTGTAAAAGCTGTTTCATGAATAAGGACTGGAACGTGACTTATTTTCACCCTACAACTTGTCTGCACAGAACACACTAGTACAAATATCAATCATACTTACTATAAAACAGGGTTTAAGACCTCACCAACTTTGTATCTTGCAAGTGTCTCCATCTAACAAGAATGCATCTTTTGTATACTGTAGGTTGATCAAACAGTCTGTAATACGATATCAATCCCAGTAAAGTCAGAAAATGAGAACACCTCCACGTCTACGATAAAGTTAAATAAAAATAAAGGAACTAGATATGCTTGATGGACCCCACTTGATACTGGTTCACATAGACGACTTTCAACCAACGAACCAAAGGTTCGAGCCCCGCCCCACCTACCAAGGTCTAAGCAGCCAGGTGGTATCATCAATAACCCCTCACACAATAAATGTGGCTTATTGCCCACTGCATGAATGTGTAAAAGGTTGCTGACTGCATTTTGATTTCGATTCGATCCTGTGAACATGAACCACTGTCATGAGTAGCAGGGCCAAAAATCCAAGGATTATATACATATATATCAAGGTAGAAAGGTCAGAAAATGTAGGTGATGAGCTAGAATTCTGATGACTAGAAAGGACTTGAGTGCTGATAACAGTGTAAGGGTGGTTGAAGACTCCTAGTTGCACATCCAGCGTAAATTCTTTTTCTTAAGATGCCTGAAAAAGAAAGTGAGTTGGTAAAGATGATCTTAAGAACCTAAAGGCGTGATTGCAGAACCCAAAAGACGTCTGCTCCAGGTCGGTCACACAAGAAGACTGCAGAGTAAGGGGTGTGGGCTATTTTTGGGGCTGACGTTTTCTAAACCCCGCTCATTTCCAAGAAAAAAGGCATCAGCATGAACTGTTCATTATCCGCGAAGAAACACTTTGTTGCTATGATGTCCTACCGAGTCAGAGGTATGTCCTCCCCGTCATACCTCCTCCCCACTATAGGGTAAATTATTTACACTATGAAGGTCACTGCTGTTAATCCTACAACAATCCAACAAACATGGTCGGGTCTCAAAACACAATCGTTCCAGCCGGGACAGGTTACTGGGATCAGTGAGACAGGGAGATCCGACCACTACGTCAAAGTAGTAGGTGTTAATCAGCAATGACTGTGAAGGATGTAGATATGATCTAAAATCGGTTGTAACATATACAAGGCTGAAGAAAACCACCATCTGATCTGCTACGAACATTTCTTTTAATAGTCAAAACAATACATCGGAAATAGGCTTTACTGACCTCACCCATATACTCTATTTTTTGAATACAATTTTGTTTACCTTCATATCACTTTTTCTCATCCATCTTTTGTTTGCTGTAAAACGTGGCAACTTGAACTGACGAACTTTTGTGTCAGGTTTTACGTTGATTTTTTTGTGTTCATGTGATCTCATTCGCCGAATATTCAAAATAACCCCGAGTAAAATAGTGATGTTGACAATTAGGCCTTAGCCGAAACTGGTAATGCTATTAAATCTGAAGAATGACATTTTTTAAAAGTGAGTTTATTTGTGTTCAGAGATAATTTTAATCCATAGTTGAGTTATCTAAGTATTTACGTGAATGGGAATCAAACTTTATTCCGTTAGACTGGTGGTAGTTACCAGTTTAATTGTTTTTATATCAAACGTCGTTAATTGTACCGAATTGATCGTCTCTCTGTTGACATATGGGCTCCTGTGCGGGTGCCTCTATATTACCTGTGCTCTAATGACAGTAATGATGGATAGTGGCTAGCAGTGGAATCCAGGATGTGCATTTCGCCCTATTTGGGACTCGTCAGCTGCATGTACCTGCTCTGGCGTATGAAGCGATCGCTCCCGAGTCCGAATCCCGGTGGGAACAACATCAAGCACCGGGAAGCAGGTAGATCCGGTTGAAGAGTCCCAAATAGGACAGAATGCGCATCCTGGATTCCACTGCTAGCCACTGTCCATCATTACGGTGATAGTTATTGTTTTTGAATTCTCATTCAAGTCAATCAGAACCTACAACACCTTAAGGTTAATTCGTTTGATGCCTTGATATCCGCAGGCCTTAGTTACGCTGGTATGACTGTCACACATACTAACCAGTCGGTCAACAATTGCTAACTTGACGTGGTGGTCGTGCCTGTATGCCATCATGACCAAACGAGATATATTGGTGGGAACGCTTGTTCGCTCGAGGTTCTACCATACCAGGTCTGCTGGATAGTGGTGAGAAGAAAAGCGGTTGCTGTTGTAGTGTAAACTGCTACACTGTGATGGGGGTCTGAGGGCGAAGTCGTACTGCTGCTAGCTGCATGAGCTGTGACAGTAGTAAGGTGTTTTCGGTGAATGACCGGTAGTGCTACGCTGGTGCTGCCTGCCTTACGTGAAGGGTGAGGGGTTAGGAAACGTCAGCCAGAAAAACATCACACTCCTCCCTGCCTCACAGTCTTCCGACGCCAACAGTATGAGTTTTCTCTGTCCTGTGTTAAAACAATCAAATCTGGAAAAAATAACCGCCAAACAGATGCGTGACACTCCACAAGCAGATATTACACAGATTTTTTTTCTCTCTCGGGTAATTTAAAAAGAAATAGACTTCCATGGTGTGAGCAGCCAGGAAGTGTCAACCGCCTGCAAGCTTTCAGTAGTAAATAACACCCAATTAAAGATAACCTATCCTCTCAACTCAGTCTCCTCCTTTGACTTCAGTTCCTGATACTAATATTAAGTTTCTTACATCTCCAACCTCTCACTCTGCGACCATTGCTAACAATCAAAACCACTGAAACCTCATTCTTAGTGTGCCTCAAGACTCCCCCCCCCCATCGATTTCATGTTGGAGCTATAAATGTCCAAACCTTATGATGAATCAGACAGCAAGCATCGTTAGCCACAACTCTGAAATCTCGAGTTATGAATGTTTGCGGTGTCGCTGAGATATGTACACAGAAACCAAGCATGGTTATTAAATCGACCTCTTTGGTCAATACAGTGAATCTTCGAAATTCACTTTGCGATTATACGAAAACCCAATGCCTAGCTCTCGTCGACTCAGTGCTGTACGCATACCATTCAATTGTAAAACAGAAAGTGAGCTTCTCAATTGGATACCAGTAAACAGCCGTCTAGGTGCTGTTCCACGAAATGCATCTACAATAAACAAGGAAGGATAGGGAGACTAGTCGATGCCAATTCATAGTCCACACACACACACACGCACACACACACCGACTGCAGTTCGGATGATGTAAAGGACGAATTTGACGAGAAACTGTCGAATGGCTATAGAAAGTAAAACGTTCAGATATGGTCATTATGGCAAGTGACTTAAACGCTTAAGTAGGGAAGGTGATCCAATCGGCACGCATCTAGAAGTTATTTACGGAGTCCCACTCCCAACGAACAAACATTGGTGATCATCTGTTGTAACGTTGCACCGACAATTACTCGTTTCTGGCCAACACTAACTTAATGCATTAAGGAGAGACACTCACATGGCCTCCGCTGACTCCAAACCAACGATGGACACAGACAGATCACATTGCTATAAACCATCGTTGGAGAGGATGAGTGGAGGTTGGTCGCTCTTTCTGGAGTACATGTTCGCACCCCAGCCATGCATTAGTTCGGGCTCGTCTATTTCTGAACCTCAGTGGTACCAGACAGACAGCAGTTAGGCCTTAGTGTGCTGAACTGAAAGATGAAAGCGCCAAGTATGAATTTAGGGAGGAGTCAGCTACGCATTTATCAGAACATGACACCAATGCTCATCATGAGGAAACTTGGTGTGATATTATGTCTGCTGCAGGATCAGCAACAAAGACAGTTGGTAACCTACACCCTTTAAATATGCAAACGCCATTGGATGTCTGCGACGTCATCCAAACTGTTTCATGAGAGAAGACTGATTCCGACTACAATTAAGAGTGAAATCAACATGAACGGAACTTTTGGTCAACAGTCTTTGCAACGATCGGAGACAGTGAGAGGGGTAGAGAAGAGATTAGTGTTAGGTGACACAAGCCAACTACTTGGGTTTATTGACCATATCGACAAGAAGACGATGGCCAGTGAAGCCATCACTGAAAGGAATAGGATCTTGACAACCTTACAAAACACACCTCCAGAACGTTGGATACAACACTACGAAGAATTGATCAACTGGCTCACAGTAGCGTTTCAGTTGCCCAGTATTCAGCCTCAAACTGGATGGAACATATATATCGGTCCTGTGACTCTTCTCGAAGTTGAGAAGAATGTTCTTAACCTCAAACGATAAAAAGCAGTTGCACCTGGTAGTTTGATACCAGAATATTATAACGGAGGTAGGAAATTACTGAGTAGAGTAACAGAAAAACTGGGTAGTGCATGAGAACCAGAGGTAGTCTGGTCAGACTGGTATAAACAGGGAGAGAAGTCTTCCTGTGAAAGCTATAGGGGAATTAGTTTGACCAATATTGTGTCCAAGATCCTAGGCCCCATATCTATCGGACGCCTAACTGGAGCTCAAGAACAGAAAACTCGAGAAAACCAGGCAGGTCTAAGACCTGGACGACGGTGAGTCAATCAAACCTCCACACTTCGACAGGTTCTGGAACA